ATATATTTTATATAGAGAACGAAATCAAAATGTTCAGATGACTAAGAAATAATAAAATAATAATACTCTCCGTTTTTCGACAATTTAATAATCTCACAATCGAGTTAATTAACAAACATAAATCAAAAAGACCAAGTTTTGTATTATTAATTTATCAAATTACATCAAGTCTTACAAAATCAGCTTAGATTCATTTCATCTCAGTCGCCCCTTCTCGAGATGTATTTATTAATTTTATTCAGGCAACGGCATCGAACTCGGAAGTGAGATTATGATTTTATAATTAATTTATTATTTTTCCAAAAATAATTAGTGCAAATTTAAGAACTTGTTACTTGTATAAGAAAACACGGTCAGCGTGAACGGATTTCAAGTTTAACTCTTGGAAAATATATTTTAGAGAATTCCTAGTAAATGAATTATTAATTGTTTTTTTTTCTAAATGGGCATAGCTAATAATCGGTCATAGGTCTGAACATTTAACCAAAGGTGTACATAATCAGTGTTTACACCCAACCATTTTGTCTTCTCCTAGCTGATGGAACGTAAAACCATAAAAATCAATCGGAAGACTTTTTACAGTGAAAGAAAACCGTGCAGCCGTATCCACGTTTTAGAGGAATTGTACATAATGTAATCCAAGTAGTATCAATAATAGAGTGGGTACCTCCTCCTATGTGGTGCTCGCATCGAAAGCACTATATTTTATAAATAATAATAATATGTAAGCAACGGTATGATAACAATAATGTACAGGCCCGGCAACGTTGAGTATTGACGTTTCAGTTTGACATTCGCTTGCATTGGGAAAAATAAAACGATAAAAATCGAATAAAAAGCTTATGTGAATTTTTTATGTACCAGAGAGAGAAAATAATAACATAAGATGTGCTTTTCTCGGTATTGCACGTAACCGATGTACTTATTTTTAGGTTTTGTTTATTTATTCGCTTAAAATACAATATGATATTATATTATGCTCGGTATACGATAATGTAAGATAACAAAAAAAAATGATTTCTTCTATATTTTATAGTATCTAATCTGAAAGAAAAAAAAAATCAAACGCAGCATGTGAAAACTCGAGCAGTTTTTCCACTGACTTGTGTTGTTTTGGTGCCAAATGCAATTATTATTATCACCTATCGCCGAGATTCACCCGTTGGTGTGATCTCAATATTGAATGCACGGGTTTGCTGGATTTTTGCAAAATTGCATTAAAAAAAAAAAAGAAATAAAAATGATTACTCCTATCCATAGGTTTTTAATCGAAAATCGTTGAACTTAAAAGGTTATTGTAATAATATTATAATAATAATAATAATATGTATTGTGCTGTGTAGGTACATCTCATACACGAATTGCCTTAGCGAAGCGTTGTTATTGATGCTATTAGTGTGAGTAATTACATTACCTAAATTATCAATATTACATACACAATAGCCAATAAGTAAATACAATAGACCTTAGTTTGGTAATTTCATTACAGCCCATAGGAAAATTATTATTATTATTATCCCTACAATAAACCGGTGTGTCTCGAATGAACCATGTTGACCTGTAGTTGTACGTACAACACATTAACAATATATTTTACAAGCGTATAACATAATAATATTAAGTAAATCTATCCCATACGGCTAAAACCGTGAACAATAATTATTATTCTGAACTCACGAGCTGCCTTAATTTGTTCGAACCTTTTTTCGTTTGTAGGTAATTAAACCGGTGATAAAAAAAAATAAATGATAAAAAAACAATAATAATCAATAAAAGACAGCGCGAATGGTTTTCTTAAATCATAACAAACAGATCATACACCGATCCGTTTAACACGAGACACTCGGTATGTCTTAAAGTTATTGACAAAATTGTTTGTGTAATGTGTTACTTATATACTTGTTATATACTTGTTACTTATGATACTTGTATCGTACAATTAAATATATATATTTTTAAACTTATTAGTATTTCTCAGAGCTCTATAGACTTTTGAAACTTAAATTTATATGTGTTTAATTAGAGCTGTTGTTTCAGTTAAGAATAATTTGCTGATCATTTTGTTTAAGTTATTCAAATTTGGAATTTAGACGGGATGTGTTTAAGCTCCAAAGCTAATATTCTAAATGATATTTCAAGGATTTAATCTTGAAAGGTTTTTCATCTAAATAATAATAACAATAAAACAAACAATTTGGATTTTGTTTACACCGTATTATGCACATACCCAACCCTTTTATTGTAATATTATTCTATAGTTACTACACGAACCTGTGCTGTGTGTAATAATTATTTATCTATACTATTGTAATGTCAGCGATTTCAAAATAAGTGTGTTTTTTTCCAACAAATAACACATTAACACATGATTGTTTAATTACTACTGCGCCAGTATATTATATCTAGATCATAAATCTATAAGTTCTTAATAATGTTAAAAAATGGGAAACGTTTAATCAGTAAAACACACTGAAAAATTCAGCGCCAGCACAGAGGGGTTGGGCCATCGTGGAATTTTGGGAAGGGAGTGCGGTTTGCAGTTATCAAGAAATTATTTGGCGAGATTACTTAAAAAAAAAAAAAAACCTTCAATATAATCTATCTAGATGGTTAATAGTATATAAAATGGCAAAACTCTTGATTTTTGTTTTTTAGATTCCTATCTGCGAATTTAATTTACCATCTACTAGAATTTATACAGTTGAACATAAATTACATTAGAAAATATAGGTAAAGAGAAAAAGCTTGATAATTGTATATTTTAAATATGAGAAATGTTTACATTTCAAACAATTTTTAAACGAGTTTAAAATAGCTTAAGAAAAAGAAAAATATTACTTTTCGACGACTTAATAAATTAACGTTTGCAGCAACCAAATCAAGGAAGCTCCAAGTATAAACGTCATTAGTTAATAATTATTATTATTGGTTATAACAGTATACATATTTTCTGCTATTTACATTAATTGACAATTGTATTTATTAGGTTAACCGTTATCAGAAAAATAATCCATTAATTACCTATATATTTATCATACACGAATTTTTTATTTAAAAACATATTAAATATAATTGTTTTTCTATCATTATAATAAAATGTGTTTTTGTTTTTTGGCCCTTTCAGTATCTTACTCTGTAAAATTTCAACGCTTAATTTTTTTTAGGTTGACTTTAGAACACTTTTAAATTAATCCATTATACATTTTTATATAGACATAAAAATTGGTAAATAAATTGGGAGGGGAGCTTATTCCATCTGTGTTATAAGAGGTAGGGATGTTGGTTCTTTATTAGCCTAGGGGTGCCTTTTAGGTAAATCCGGACCTGTGTATTGGCAATAAACCAAATAATTGTAATTAGGTGTCATTAGGTTTTTTGGGTTTACCTCGATAAAAAAATGTGCAGAATAATTAAAAAATATGGTCACCCTTGCTCGGTGGGTGGGACTATTTTAAAAGTTATATTGTGCTGAATTTTTAAATTAAAAAAAAATATGTAAGTATACCCGATTGGGTTTGAATTCAGCAGAATCGACTATAGTAAGCAATCGACACAGCTGATAGCCGCCTTATTTCCGTGTAAAGGTGGAGTTACACTTTAATTAACATACATTACAGTGTATAATCATTTTATACTGTATTTTACGGCTACCTTATACGTGTAATATTATTTATGTAGAATAATATATTATTATAGCCGTACACACGGTTTTAACAATATTATTATTCTTGTTAAATTGATTAGGAGCAATCATAATGACTTCACTATGGGTCACCATACAAAGTTTACATTGCATAATTAATAAACTTATCTAAAGCGTTTTTTTCTCCAATGAACCTTTACGAGTAACAATTATATTGTAAACAATATAGATTTAACAGCTGTATAAGACCTTTATGATATTGTATTAACTATAATACACCTACGTTCAAAATATTGTTCGTCCTAAATGTTTATATAATATTAGGTGTATAAACTTTTGCCATTTGTCTTCTACTCGACAAGAAGAATTATTGAAAACTTCTGAATAAACTATTAACTGTAGTAGTTTATTAATTTCAGCAAATGTTCATGAATTTTTTTAAAATAATAAGTATAATTTTTATTTTGTAATTATTTATTTACAAAAAATAACAAGTGATAAGAAAATTTCAAGTTCAAATTTGCATTCAAACATCTCAAGAGATAACTAGATAACTATTAACTATTACCTACATTTTTAAATGAAAATTTAAACATGTTTAATGACTATTCTTTAGTTTAATAGGCATGTTGTTCCAAATTTTGCATTTCAACTTTGGCCTTTGCGTTTGGAAATTACTTGTCTATTCAGTATTGGTATACCTATATATAGATATTATACAGAATATGTATAATGGGTAAAGTCGAATACCTAAGTGTTTTAAATTCAAATGTATGTAGTAATTTTAAAAAAGTAGACGGTTTGTAACCCAACTGATAAAATATAACAGCTTAAGCCTCAAGCACACACGTTTAATGTACAATGGTTTAGCTCCTTTAGAAATAGGTAAATACTTACAAACACAACTGCAAAATATCATACCTGTTGTTGGTATTAATTTTTTTTCTAACACGCCAAGTAATTTCTAAAAACCTCGAGGCTTTCGCGGTAAAAGAAATAATACCTATGTATTTTTTTTAAACGTAGCTAGGTACAATAGTCAATACAAACATTGCAATAAAACGAATTTTGAAACCAAAACTAGGATTTTTTTTTTTAATCTTAACATCAAAATACGGAACTATTTGAAATCGATTTTTAGATTTTTTTATTTCAAATAACGTTGTATTTAAATACAAATTGATTTGATTTGATTTTTATTTAAATAATTGTTTAATTTGAATATTATTATTTCCACCAGCTGTACCTACCTAATGGTATGCCGTTCGGTTACGTTTGTGACACGGATTGTATTTCTATGGTTAATGATAAGGCGATTTTTCTACTGATAACAGCTGTTATCAGCAACGCGTTTTATCAGTCAAGGCGTATTCGAGTGTAAATTATTATTGTAATATTAAATCCTTGTGTCCTATACATTTTCAAATTTTGGCTGTGTTCAAAAAAACGAGACTACAAAGTACAAGATGGGCAAGGTCGAAGGTGCACCGAAAAAACGTTCAGGTTGGTTCAATGGTTTTCCGAATTAATAACTTATTTGTCTGATAGTTTTTGTGGAAGTGAACTGCAGAAATTGTGGGTTCTCGAATAACATGGTTGTTTTATCCTTAGTATTTCGCTTTACAGTTTAGTTTTTTAATTACTTAAACAACAACAGTTGTGTTGTAAAGAAGACCAGGATATTGAGTTATTTAACTTCAAAGTGTTCTACCTATTTTACTCGTGTAAACAAAAAATACCCATATTACATGCACAAGTGTTTTCAAAATATATTGTTTTTACAGGTTCCCTATGGGATTTCATTTGTGTTGAATTCACTCGTGGTTATTCCTTAGAACACGACGAGAAAGAGTATTCCGACAGGAGAGAAAAAGTTTACACCTTCATGAAAATACCCCTAGAAGTAGAACGGTTCATGTTCTATGGATTTTGTCAAGTATGTAAAACAGCTTAGTTGCCATTAATATATTGACAATTGCTAAATATATATAACGACACTGTATCCAATTTTTGTAGTGTGCAGATTCCTTTCTGTTTGTCTACACGTTCTTACCGTTACGGGCGTTGGTTGCGCTCAAGTCGTTTATATTCCGTACAGTATTTAAATTTCGGTTTGTATTGTTGAAATTGTTTTATCTCGTCGATGCTGGCGTTGTTGTTGTACACACATTTTTTTTTTTTAGAGATAAACATAAAAATAAACGATTGACGGCGGCCGAAGCGTGTGACCTCCTCAAGATGGCTATAATAGTGACTTGTACAATGATTTTGATGCCCTGGGACACGTCGATGATGTACCATGTGATTAAAAGCCAGTCGGTTATCAAACTGTACATTTTCTTTAACATGTTGGAGGTAAATAATGTATATTTGCTAAATTATCAAAACCAGCTTTTTAATGCATTGGGTTTTTTATCGAACTATTGTTTATTCGTTCACTCTCATAAAGATAAAAGAATTATGTATAATTATTCATTCCAAACACTGGTAAAAAAAACATATTGTTATGATAAGTTATGTAATATAATATTTATGTATTGTGTTTACGTTGTCTAATTGCAGGTTGGAGATAGACTGTTTTCGTCTTTCGGTCAAGATATTCTGGACGCTCTATTTTGGACAGCCACTGAACCCAAACACAGTCGCCGTGAGCATTTCGGAGTGTTGCCACATTTCGTAATTGCCGTGTTTTACGTCAGTATCCTTTTTTTTAATCGATAGTGGCTAATTTTTACCGGATGGCCTCCCCCCTCCTATAAACAAGCCGTTCATGATATATTTATTTGTCGATACAATGCCCTTAACTTAACATTTAGTTTTACACAGCATACTCGTGTTATGCCAAGCTACTACGCTAAACGTAGCTATAAATTCTAGTCACAAGGCGTTACTGGCCATCATGATGTCCAACAATGTAATTATATATATTTCAAATTATTGAAAAATCTCGATTTCAAATTTGATAACTGATTGTAATTTTTTTTTTTTCATTTAAGTTTGTCGAACTCAAAGGCAGCGTGTTTAAAAAGTTCGACAAGACAAACTTGTTTCAGTTGGCTTGCAGCGACGTTCGAGAGCGTTTCCATTTATTTCTACTGTTGTTAATTGTCGTTGTGCAGACAATGAAAGAATACCAATGGACTAGCGGTCAGTGCTCTTATAATGATAATAATATCTGGTTTTAATCTTTTAATTTTTTTTTTTGTAATAGATTCATTTTGGGAACTAATGCTCGATTGCATGTACGTCATGGTATCGGAAATGTTGATAGATTGGACCAAACACGCTTTCATTACGAGATTTAACGAAATCAACTTGTCCGTCTACCGGGACTACGTACTTAGTTTTGCCTACGATACTGCTCAGTCACGGCACCACAAAGTCAGTAGCTGTTCGAGTAATTATACCGATAATGTTTATTTCTCGTAGTGAACACATTTGTGTTTTACACGTTTCCAGGCCTTCACCGACCATTCGGATTTAGTTGCGAGGCGTATGGGATTCATCCCGATACCGTTAGGAGTGGTAATGATTAAAGTGTTGACACGTTGCGTTACGATTGACGGCCGCTTGGCTTCAATAGCGTTGCTGGTTTTTGCCTTTACGTGTCTTGTCACGTTAAAAATCGTCAACCTCATCTATATCCTGGGCAGGGCTTGTAAGCTCATAGATTTTCACAAGATTGTAAGTGAATATACTTGTCATTGTACTTTTTGTATTTACAACCAAGCTGTAAGCAACGTCGTTTTGTTGTTTTTAGCTGTTGATAAGAAATCTGAAAAACGGTGTCAGCGTTCAAGACATGGCCACCAGTCCGATGAAACCACAATTCCGCAACAAAACGTTATGGGCCGATGACAAAGAAAACCGGCCTTCGCCGCTCATTGAAGTTCCGCCTTTAGGTCCAACACCGATGTTTGCTAATAGTAACGTAAGTATTTTTTTATTGTTTTCTCGCAAATCAATCGGAAGTCGGCTTTCTTACGTAAGTACTTGCCGCGTCGTACAATCCTGTATTGAACCAATAAATTGTAATTGTTTGATGAACAGTAGTATTTAAATTGATGAAAAATAAATGTATAATTTTTAATTGTTAAAAAAAAAAAAAAAAATGTTTAATTACAGGTTGACATTAAAGAGGCTTGTTTGAACACTCAAGTGTTGGAAGATATCGTGGAATGTGATTTGACGCAAAGCGACCCAGATTTTAAACTGTCTTTGATGCGTGACGTGGACACAATCAGCACCAAGTCGGCGTGAACGACGGCAAACAATAAAATATATTAGTTAAATTTTTTATTTGGTACGCGGGATAAGACTGTTGTCGTAGAAACCAATTCCATTTGTTGTTATTTGTTACGTTAAATCAATTATTTTTTAATTAAAGTGTGTGTCTAAATTTTGTGACAGTGGGTTAAAAACTATTTTTTTTTTTTTATTTGCATTGTCACCCTACTGTTTGTTTTTGTTATGACTCGATCTCCATAGCAACGTGTACAATATAATGCTGTTATCATTTGAAAATATTAATGTTATATTTTTTTTATTATATTTTTATACAGTTATTAGGTAAAAGCTGTGTTGTATTAATGTTAGTTTATTGTTTTTGAAATTTTGTTATTTTGTTGTCGAATAAAAATGACTAGAATCGCCGACGGTAACTACACTTCTGTCATTTACACATTGGTAATATCGTGAAACGAAAAAAATTTACTTACAATCATTTTACGTTATTTTGTCTCGACGGTAAATAATTTATACACAATTATTTAATGTGGATGTTTCTGTTGTTGCGTAGATAAAAGAAAAGCTGTACAACGATGTTGTCGAAATCATCAACACTATGCCGGATAACAAAAAAAATGCAAGTATTGTCGGTTAATTATTTTTTTTTTTGGTGTTTACGTAATTGTTTTTTTATAATATGTACTTAGACGAGACCAGGCTTATCGCTTTTGGCGTACTGCTATTATTATACAGACGATTTCCACAATGCGTCCATTGTCTACGAACAGCTGGCCACCCTTTGGCCACAAGAAACTGATTACAGGATACATTACGCTCAGTCGCTCTACTCGGCCGGACGATACGAAGAGGCACTACGAGTGACGGCAGCAATCGCAGTGAAAGGTTACGAAAACAAAGTATGACGTTTAACAACGACAATAGCACTTTTTTGGGTCACTTAAACCAAACGGTTGTTAGGTGTGCAAGTTGACTGCTGCGATACGATACGGTATGGAAGACGTTGCCGGCGCAAGATCATTTTTGGAAAGCAATTCCGGCCTCAAAGACGACCCAGACACGGACATAAATTACGGATGTCTCCTGTATAAGGTAAGAGTTTGTCCGATGTTAACTGTAGTGGTGTTGTATAGTGTTGTTTCACTTAAATTCCAGGAAGACCGGTACGAAGAAGCGTTGGAGAAGTTCTTAAACGCCCAAGTGATGTTGGGCTACAAACCTCATTTGTCGTATAGCGTGGCGTTGTGCTACTACAAGTTGAAAGATTTCACTTCAGCCTTAAAACACATTGGTAAAGTATAGTTTAAAAAAAAATGTTTTTTTATAATTAAGAACAATTTCTTTGGTTTTGCCCAAGGCGACATTATCGAAAGAGGCATAAGAGAACATCCCGAACTCGGCATCGGCATGACCACCGAAGGGATCGAGGTGAGAAGTGTCGGCAACACTTTGACGTTACACGAATCGGCGTTGGTGGAAGCTTTCAACTTGAAAGCGGCTATTCAGTTTGAAAAAAATGACAGTCAGTAGACAACAATAATATTATGCCGTATACTCTAAATTTATGCACACGGTCAATGTGTTGTAAAACAATTGTTATTTTAATTAGTCGACAGCGCACGAGAAGCGTTAACCGATATGCCGCCTCGATGGGAAGAAGAACTGGATTCGGTCACCTTACACAATCAGGCGTTGTGCTCGATGGACACGTCGCCCACTCAAGGATTTCACAAGCTCCAGTTTCTCTTGCAGCAGTCTACGTACCCGCAGGAGACGTTGCAGAACCTGTTGATATTGTACTGCAAACACGGTTACCACGATCTGGCCTCCGACGTGTTAGCGACATACTCTCCGGTCAAAGACAAACACCTATCGTCGGTACGTACAATTTGTACAATTGTTGACGATCAAATTGATCGTTAACGGCTTAAGTTGTTTTTTTAAAAATTATACTTACTTTGATGTGTTGTCCATTGACGGTGGTGGTTTTGTTTACAGTATATCCGTGAGTTTGTGGACGCCGTCATTGCCCAGCAATCGTCGTCGGACGAAGCGTACCGTAAGTTGGACAACATGGCCAACAAACTGTCGGACGCTTTGCGCAAGGCCACGAGGTCCGTGCAAGAGTCTAGGGAAACCCGAGACGACAGGGGAGCGAAAAAAGCGTTGCTCGATTACGAATACACTCTGGAAAAGTAAAAAAAACTTGTATTTTATATGTTAGATTTTGAAACTTTTTTATTTAAATTTATTTTATAAACAACACATTGACCCCTCTGCTCCTGTGTAATCTCAAAAGGGTTAATTTTTAAAATTCACACCGAATTTGTAATCGGCTACCCCAAAAACATGTATTTTAAAGTGTTTTTTTTTCTATGCAAAAACCTAAAAGAAATTCTTGTTAAAAAATATTTTACTTTCGATGCGAATCTTTTGCCGCTGGACCTCACTTTTGTAATGTCTTACTTTGCCGGTTAAAATTGTGCTCTGTTTGTTCCGTACTGGGTTCTTAGTGTCTAATCGAAGCGTTTGGCGGTGATAAAAACCCTTTTGAACCATTATGCTGCTCATTTATTACTGTGCCGTTACTAGTTTAGACTGTGTTGGTTTATTTGTTTTAATTTAATAATAATTTCTTACGTTAAACTAGATTCATACCGGTCACCATGGCTCAAGCAAAGATCTACTGGGATCTAGAAAACTACTCGCAAGCGGAAACCATATTTTATAAATCCGTCGAGTTCTGTAACGAAAACGATACGTGGCGTTTGCACGTCGCCCACGTTCTGTTCATGCAAGAGAAATTCAAAGAGGCGATCGCATTCTACGAACCCATTGTGAAAAAAAATCACAACAATGTAATAAACACATTATTTCCTGTAACGATAACGTTTATGTCGACGTGGCTTAGGTGTCACTTGGTGTACTACCTTGTTGTTTATAGATACTGTCTGTGAGCGCTATCGTCTTGGCCAATCTGTGCGTTTCCCATATAATGACTGCGCAAAACGAAGAAGCCGAAGAGCTAATGAGAAAAATCGAAAAAGAAGAGGAACGGTTGTACTATCAGGAACCCGAAAAGAAAGTCTATCATCTGTGCATCGTCAATTTAGTCATCGGGTAAGATATTTATTTAAAAAAAAAAACAGTCGCCGGTCTTTAATTTGTTTGATTTTTTTTTTTTTTTTTTTAGAACACTGTACTGTTCTAAAGGCAACTACGAATTTGGCATTTCCAGAGTGATTAAAAGCTTGGAACCTTACAATAAAAAACTTGGCATGGACACGTGGTAATTATTGCTCACTACTGTAATTGAGACCGACGATATTGTTGAAACGCTAAGATCCTCATACGTACCATATTTTGCTCGTAACACATTTTAGGTTTTATGCGAAACGATGCATGTTGTCGTTGATTGAGAACATGGCTAAACATGTTGTAGTTATGCGAGACTCGTTTTACAATGAATGTTTGGTGTTTTTGGATCAATGCGAACGTAAGTATTGTTATGAGCGATAATTTCAGACAGTTTGTGTGTGATGTGATTTGAAAAACTATATATATTTTTTTTTTCCTATGAAAAATATATACATTTATAAATCAATATTAATTGATGTTATTGATATTTTAGTCCACGGCAAAGAGGTCGGTACGATGCCGGAGGAAGAGTCGACGGACAAGAAAGAATTGAACAGTGTTACGTGCGAAGCGAGACTCTTAAAATCACTTCTCCTTCGATTACTGGAATATTGAAAAACAATTCTTGTTATGTATTTTTTTTCCAATTATCATCTGTCCAGATGATTACACTGCTTTACAAAGTTTATAATGTATCAGATATAAGTATATAATTTATTATTATTACTATTAAATATTTATACATTTTTTAAATTAATAAAATTAGTAATCTGTAATAATATTATGTATTCTGTTTCCTTTTTCTAACAAATCATACCTATAGAAATGTGTTCATAAATCATATGTACAATGTTTTTGGCTGTTATTACTTAAAATAAATTTCATAGAAACAATTATTTAAATTGAAAAATAATACCTTGAAGCTTATACAAATTAACCGGTAAATTAATTGACGACATGGTCGAAATTTATTAAAACCTCTTTTTCTCTTGAATATTGCCGAAACAAAACTCTTTTAAAACAGTCCTCGTGCAATCCCCTTAAATGAAAGACATCATAACACAGGTTATTGCATTCGATGATAAAAATAAAATGGCGGCCTAAGGGTCGGCCAATCAAATTAATTTATTTTAGTATAAAGTTATTATGTTTGTATTTATCAAAAAAAACTATGATGTACCCTTACGCCGCCATTTTGTCAATTGGTAGTATAATAAAATAAGGGATATGCAATAACCTTGCACGTTTAAGCCGTAGAACATATCTTATGATCAGCTGATTCTCTTATCAGTTATCTTGGAATTACCCATTTTCCCTTATCACCATCCCGTCCCCGCCTTATCATTATCCCCTACTCCTCCCTCCTCTTTGTGTCACAAAACAAATTTTTCGACTGACTCGCAGCCCTGAGAGGTATTCATATCAAATTGTCACTTAACGATACGACTTTACAAGGATTATTTTATATATAGGATTATTTTTTAAAGATTATTTTATTTATTTCTTCGTGTGGTACCAGTGCAGCATTTTACAGAACACACATTTTACAAATTTAACAGTTAAACAATTGCAGAAAGTATGCCTCTTTGCTGTTACCCGATGAACAGGAAGATTCTTATTTAGTGCAGGTCTATGATTCTATTCATATTGAGAGTAAACGTGATCTTCAACGGTGTCGTATGAAGTGCTTAGAAATGATATACATTTTACCGAATTGGTAGACAATAACGTGCGACGCAGTTGTGTGTAAGCAGAGGATCCTAAGATTCTTTGGCCACATCATAAGAAGGGATGGATCGAGCCTGGAGAAGCTGATGATCGAAGGAAAAGTAGAAGGGAAAAGATATCGTGGAAGAACACCAATGCGTTGGATAGACCCGGTCAAGACCATCACTGGCTATCCCCTGGGAGAGGCCATTCGATCGGCTGAAAACCGTGAGCTTTGGAAAGAGATTGTTGCCAACGTCAGCTGATGGGTCACCAAACTTCCGCTTTTGGAAGACGGACTTAAGAAGAAGAACGTGCGACTCGAAGGAATGTGGACCGGAAATCGACGGTCGTTCCTTTTGGATACCTTGCACTTGAACGACATGGCCGGCCAAGTGGCGACAACGCTGGTTTTCCGGATCTATCCGGAAGTGAACTGGCAATGCTTTTTGGAACCAGCTGACCACAGCCAACGTCCGGGCACGCAGCGAGCCGTGGCTACCGGGCGGCATCCGGGCTCTCGGCCAGTATCAAACAATGGTTGTGCAAAAGTCTTGCAAATGGTCATGTTGCGCATCACTTGGAGGTGTTTGCTGTACGCCAAGAAAATGGTCGGAATTCGTTTGGCAGGCTTTCCGTGGCTGCTGACGTACGTCCTACGCGAGTACAAGATCATCATCTCACAGGATCTGTCCGAGTTTGTTCGCTACACTAGCGCAGTTGGCGATACTGCAGTGCATAGAGGGCCTGAGCGTTTTTACCAAAAAATCCACCATCGACAAGGGCATTCGCATGATCAAACAGCACTTGAATGTGATTTTCAGCGGTTTCGGGCAGGGCGCGACGATCAACGTGGATTTAATCGATCACATCGATTGCAAGCAGTTCGCCATAGGCAACGGTTTGAGTAGTCAAAGTCAGATGAACGAGAGCCTGCACGAGACCGACATGATTTGCGGCTGCATATTTTTGGAGTACTTGAAAAACACATCGACCGATGTGAGCTTTAAAATTATCAAATCTTTTATCGAATTTACCAAATATTTACAAACAACGCGTGTATCTCAAAAATCAACATAATCATTTCGGCGTTTGTTAATATTATCGTTGGAGTTTTGTTCTATATTTTTTTGAAATTGATTTTGTAATTTTTATATGAATATATATTTTCAACTGCACAAAGTTGACACATGCAATTTTTTACCAACTGCAAAAAATATAGTTAAAGTCAGGCGGTGTTTGGTTAGACCAAAACCTCAGAGAAAATACCTCCAGATCCAATACACATTGTAGTTTGTTCACTTTTAAATACATAAACGGGTTTACTTGACAAACAGTCCCCCCTTGCCGAGTGCTTATTTATCTATCTAATTGATGTATTTTATATTTTCATTGTTACTATTTATTAATCGATTAATGTTTCTCCGTGCTACTTTTTTTCATTTGTCTTTTTAATCATTTACAACATCCACTCAAATTGTAATGCACGTGTTACATGAATCTAACATGAGCTACGTCGACGTTGATACATCATGAAAAATTCACTTCTAACCTACAACATAAATACGTTTAAGATACAGGAATTTACAAAAACGTTTTATTTTTTTCATAGGAAATTTACTTGACTTCTAACGTGTAGGTGACTCAAGATGACACTCGGTGTTGCTATGGTACTGTGATGGTCGATTCGGTCCGTATGGATTATAATATACTATAAATTATATATTACAAAAAAAAAGGGGCTATAAGTGAAAATAAGGGTATACTTCACACACAAACACACGAGCCCGTTGCAATGGGAGCCCGACGACGGGTTTGATCGATACGCTTGTGTTGACTTTAAAACGCGTTTTGAACGCTCACGACTGCTAATATTTTGTTAGCTGTTGGAGTGTGAATTTTTTATAGCAAGGTCCGGAAATGGCGCCTAAAAAGAACAAGAAAGGAAACAAGTTGGCTCGGATGAGCGACGAAGAAAAATTGCGTTATCTTCAGCATCGGGCGGCCGTCGAGGAAGAGACGAAACGTCGGAAAGAGCAATTGGTCGCCACTTACTTAAAGGTAAAATGCCCATGTCGGCGTGTTAAACACTTTTTGGGGGTTTTTTTATTCACGTGTTTTGTTGTTTTCATACTTAAGAACAAACTGAAACGAGAAGAAGCGTTCACCAGACTTAACACGGCCAAGCTCAACCAACAATGGCGGCACAACTTGCGGCAGATCAAGTGCAAGGAGTTGAAGGACGAGATGGTGGTAAGATAACGTCTGTTGTAAAGACAACTTTATTAATACACTGTTGTGTTGTGATAAAAAAAAATTCGTGAGATTTTAAACTAGAGCTAAAAATGTATAAGCATGATTATGTTTTTAGGATTTATTATAAATACAGAAATTAAATAAACAAATCCAAAAAAAAAAAAATAATAGTAAACGGAACCGGAGCTATCTGAACCTCTTCACCGGGTTTCTGTGATTAGATTAGATTAGATTTTCTTTGATTTGATTTGATTTGATGTTTAAATGGAGAAGCAAGGTGCATAACAATTGAAGGAGTTACAAACATTTTAAGAAATCGTGAGATTTTGAGCTTGAGCTGGAAATGTAGAAGCATGAATAAGTGTTTTAGGATTTGTCAAATATAAAATAAATCAAGTAAATGAGTAGATAAATAATTGAGTAAATGAATCACATGGCGCCAAAAATGTCTTGAAAAAAATCTCACGAATTTTCTTGGTTGACAGACGATGGAGAACCGATTCGAGATATTGTTGGAGTGCAAGACCAATCACATTGAAATGCTGTTGAAAGACCTGGAAGACGCCGAAGAACAAAACCTCAAGCAGTATGCGGCCCACGCCGAAATCATTTCGCAGTTTCTCAGTAAAAACATTTTCGTTGTATTATGCTTAATGTAAAGTGTTCGACCATTTTCTTCTTCTTCCAGCTGCAATTCTCCGTGGTTCTCTATCACGACCTAATTCTTTAAATTCTTGGTATTTAGGATTATTATATGGTATTGACTCCAACGCTCTCAACCTGGCCTCTCACATCGTCTAAAACGGTCGTGTCTCATGCAGGCTACTCTTTGTTCTATCATATTATAACACCTTCTTCTTCGCTGGCATTTATAACTCTATTAGAGTCTTTGCATCCATCTCTCTCGATCTTGAACGATTTCATTTCGTTCTTGTACTCCCACAGCTTTAAGATCCTCTTCTACTACGTCTAGCCACCTCTTCCTCGGTCTGCTTCGAGGTCTCTTCCCTTTTGGGTTTCCATTCTATAACTGCTCTGATGGTTTCTTCTTAGCTTCTTCTCGTGATATGGCCAAACCACTGTGTTCTTTGTCCTTTTATGTAGCTAATGACTGGCGCTGAGCCCAGTTCTTCCCGAAGAACCTTATTGAACTTTCTTTTCCATTAATTTGTCCTTGTGCCACGAACTGGTCCGCATATTATTCTGCATATTTTTTTTCGAAGGTTCTAAGTCTTCTTACCGTCACACTTGTCGTTGTCCATATTTCACAATGATACATTGTTGTACCCACTGTTCAGGTTTCACAGCCATACAATAAATACACTCCATGAATACACATTCATGATTTTGCCGTTACAGGTTTGCACGAGAAAACCATGGAAGAATTGCACAGTCGATACGAGCGCGAAAAAGATTTGCTGGTGGAAGAGATGAAGGAGAACTTTGCTAGCATAAGACACACGTTCACCAGAGACGATCAAAGGTTGGAGCTAGTGTCGATGACTTTCCAAGTGCGCAACGAGGAGACGACACAACAGATAAACGCGGATTTCGAAGATTCCATTGCTCTGCTCAATAACGAGGTAAACGTTCTCGGGGTGTACTGCCGTTAGGTTAAGTTTTTTTAAAATGTTTTATTGAATGTAAATAAACCCTTTGAATTGTGTTTAGATGTTATTCGAAAAAGACCGTTTCACAAAATTGCGGTACTCCGAAATTCAGTCGGTGGTGGAGAAATTTCAAAACGTCTTGGACGATTATTGCGGCGAGACGGAAACCAAAAGGAACCATTACAATTACCTGAAGACTCGCGACCAGGCTAGCACGTCGTCCATCGAAGATAACCACAAACGCATAACAGAATACTCGGTGAGTCCACTATTTAAATAATACTATAAGCCACATTTTCTATCGGTAAAATAGATCTCACCGCGAACGAACATTCAATCCAATTACATAATATTTTTACTCTTTGACACGAATACGTTTTATGGCTTGTTATCACTTGGGGTGGGACGATGATAAGGGATAAACCATAATTTCTGGGTAACTGATAAGAGATGTGCGATAAGAGAATCGGCTGATAAGAGAAAGAATAGCCAACGTCTTTCCATCAAGGGATTTTTATTTTTAGTGTCTGATGAAATTTCATCAAGTTCACGAAACGCAAAATTATTTTATACATAATAATTTATTCAGTTATAACATTTCAAAATAATACTAACATTGCCCCTGCTTATATCTATTTTAAAAATAATGTTTGTGTACAATTGTTTATCTCCGAATTACTGTTAACTAACGCAAAGCAAATGACCTATGGCAATCTTAACCGTAACTGACGATTTACATTATTGTTGTTGTACAGGAAGAAATCAAATTGCTAACTCAGTTGTGTGCCAAACGTGAGATGCAATACACTCGGCGGGAAAACGACTTGAAGCAGGAGCGCGACGACCTAATTAAACGAGGTTTTGAAGCTCAAAATCGTCTGAATCTAAGTCAAAACGATTACCAAAAGAAACTACAAACGATGACGAAAATATACAAACAAGTCATAGAGGTAAAATAAACTGATCGATTTTTGAGCGAAACGTTTATAACACTTTTTTTTTTCGAAGCAATTAGCAATTAAGGTAATGCCAGCCAGCAGAAAATATTATAAAGTGGCAACTCTATTTGAAAACCTAGAAAAAAACGTTAGCAAATTCCACATAACCGTGTCTTCCGATCAGCTCATTTTCTTATCAATAATCTCTTATCACGAATTAACGATTTACTCTTATCACAATTCCATCCCCACTTGTAATTATCATTATACACTTTTATTGTGATACAAAATGTGTTATTGTAATTAAAATATTGATTTTTTTTTCTCCTCAGAAATTAACAAATATTGCCGAAAAAGGCGAAAGAATAATTAAAACCGCCAACAATTGCAGCAAGTTGATATTGGCCGACGACAAGTGTGCCGACTCGGAGGAAGACGATTCTGGGACAGTGAGTTCATTCGTCTGCGTACAGTATATCACATGATGTCGTTTAGCTAATTGGTAACTAACTAAGCTGGGGTGCTGTTTTTTACACTCAGGACTTTGACGTTATGTCTTCGTTTTGGAAACGGTACGCCAGAGTGGACATGCAACACCGGGAACTGAGCGTGAAACGAACGAGGTTGCTTCAAGAAAACAAAGATTTAAAAGCTGCCCTGGCTTATTACTTGAAAACAATAGCTAGACCGGCGTCGGTTCAGAGGGACATGAGGGACAATGGGATACAATTACATTTGCTTCCCGTTAAAGCAGGATAAGCAGAAATAATACCACCTGTCAAACCTCCACCAAATTTGATGTAAACCATTCCAATGCACAGTTGACGATTTTTTTTCTAGTAAATATTCACTAACGAGATAGTTCTTGCACTATACTGTTATACTGGTCACCATAACCGTCACACTCTATACCTAATTAGGTTGGTTCTCACTTTGAGTTTGGTGGTAATTTAAATCGATTCAAAATGGAATAATCCATAGTCCATCATTGTCTAAACATTTTCATTGGTTTCTATTGTGTTTCTCAATTCAAACATACACATTTAAACGCCATATTTTATTCGTTTAGTAATATTTCACAAAACGTGGGCTACAAATGAAAATAAAAACTCCTAAAAATCAAATGTTATTTCATAAGTATTATACACAAAGTTTAATCGGGTCAAAATATATTTAAAAATAAAAAAAAATACTCCTTTCGGCTCGATGCGAATGCCGATTTTGTTACAAATTACAATTATGTGTTTTTATTATCTATTTTTTCAGTGTCTAGACCGATTTTTCTTTGTGTAGCAAGTCATTATAATTTTTTAAATAGATATGCAAACGAATAGTGTAGTGATTTTCGTTGAAGAAAAAAATTATATTTGTTCTTTGACATTGTTCGGAGTCGGACAAACGTTATTATTAAATTATTTTCTAATGAAAAATAAGTATTATACATTAAAATGATAAAACACTCAAAGCCATTTAGGTTTTTTTACTAGTCAAATTAAAAAAAATTTCAAATCACACCGCCTTACTGACGGACTAGTACTTTGACGGTACAAGCTTGTGTTTATTATCTTGCGGCTTAGGTCGGTAAATCGGATGCGACGTCGATTTTTATTTTCAAAGAAAAAACGGTTGTTATTAAAAAATGAATAGTCATATTGTTCAGTTTATTTATTTCGACAAATGTATAGATAAATAAATATAATACATACATAATAATAATAATTATAGGTATAGGTACAAAATAAAAAGGTGATTAAATTATAATATATTACGTGACATTAATAATATTTTGTTTAAATCGTAACATTCGATTTTACATTAAAAAAAAAAATGATGCACGACTTAAACACAACAAATACACAATATACTATTATAATATTATATTTATATTTTATTTCCGTCTGTAAATAAATCTTATAGGCTAAATGTATTTTTTTAAATATGTATATAAAATATGTCTTAACGTTACAAATTAATATTACAAAATTAAATTTTCAGTCGTTTAATTCGCACAGACTCGCGTTATCGACATTACATAATAATAATAATATGTACATAAATATATAATGAACGGCTCCAAAAAAAAAAAAAAATGGAATGCACGTTTTGGGGTAAAAAAAAAAAAAGAAAAGAAAACTACTAATAATAAAATGTACGTCCAATCTTTTTACACAAGTTTTTTATTATTATTTTTTTTTTTTAAATGAATTAATAAAGTACATATCACAAATGGCAACCATACAAAATAATAATACATACAATTCTAATAGCTAACTTTTACTGGGAGGGGGGGGGAACATGATCATCAAAAAAAAATTTGTATAATATAAAACCTAGAAATAGGTTTAAAAAAACATTGTAACGTCAAACTCGTGGACTCCGGATGATGTTATAATATTTTCAACGATGACGTATAAAATACACAATGCGAGCTACGCTACGCATCGATATTAAGTAAAAAATAATAGTAAAAAATAATAATAATAATAATAATAATAATAACAAAATAATATTTAGAGATTAAATATTTGCTTTACATAAGAAAAAAAAATAAAATCATAAGAGTAGTTTACAAATATTATGTAAACGGTTTATAAAAAAAAATATATATATACATATTCAACGGGTGTGTTCGTATGTGTACGTATTTTTGTACTAATTTTTAATAATAATACTTTACGACGGAATATCAAAAAAAAAGTACTAAGTCATACTACAATTAGCATTGTAAGTGTTTCAGTTAAATATACAATATAGGAAATATATTATATAAAAAAAAAATTCTAAAAACATATTTTTGATTTTTTTTTGTTTTGTTATACTCAAAGCTCTTAATCGTTTTATAATAATAAATCATAATAAATATGCTGATCTGTGCAAAATAGTTAACCCTGATTATTATTTATTTTTTTTTTTTTATGTATTTACAATAAACGAGTAAAAGGCGTGTAAAAAATCAAAATAGTTCAAACTTTTCGATTCAATGGCAGTATATATATATAATTATAAATAGTATTGTTATAGTAGTACGCTAAGTACTGGGAAAAAAAAAATTATAATAATAATAATAATAATTAATAAACAAACAATTACACAATGTTGCCGTCGACAACGGCAATGCGAAAACAACGTACAAGTTGAGTTTTAAGATTTCTACCAAAATTTGCAAAATGGCTTTTGACGAGAAGAAAACACCGTTTTCTAAAGTTCATACAATTTTACACAAAACAAATACATATCACTGGAAATCGTTGGCGGAATAAATAATAATTAAATAATATTAGTTATTTAAAATTAAAATTGTTTTCAAGTTCTTTTAAACGAGCAAAAACTAGATTACGACAAAAATTCCGTTCACTCGTAAAGCGTAATTATTATTATATTTTTATTACAAAAAACAAAAAAAATGAAAGAAAAATTAGACTAAAAAAACAGTCTATTTGTGAATGAGATCACGAACGAATTTTTAACTTCTACGACGAATAATGATAATGTCTTCGTTACCGTCAAAATAATACAAGACATTAGTAAAATTATATTAAAATGGAAAAAAAAAATTAAATAATGATTTACAATAATGTTGTTATTTGTTGTTGATAATAATAATAATAATAATTGTCCTTAGAGCACCCCCGATTAACTCTGTCTCTGTACAAATGATTCGTTTTTCCATATCGCTTCACCGCTAGTCAGCCGTACGTAAGTATACGCCTTACTTAAGATATAATATTACCGATTACTTATAGATAAGACAAAAAAAAAAAAAAAAAAATGTATTTTGCACCGGTAACTGGTTGATCGAAACGAAGGCTGAGCGTGACACGTTAGCACCACGACTCCGGCTGGGTGTTGCGGTACGTCTCGCTCTCCTCGTCGCTCGGATCCTCACCGTACATGTCGGCTAGTTTACGGAACCTCGGGCCAAAGTTGGACAGGTAATCGAAATTCAGATCACCGTCGTCCGTGCCTGTCGCGGACAACAAAAAGGAAGTCAGGTTAAGTCAGGTCAGGTTACAAAGCACACCGTCCGTAACAAACAAAACACACTGGTAATTTACTCACCCGAAGCCAACGACGACAGCGATCCGACCGAATTGCCTTCGCCCTCGTACATGTAATTGCGCACGTCGTCGTACGGGCCCAGATCCGGATCGTTGTCGACAGAGTGAAGTTTGTCGCCCAGGAAGCCGCAAATGTCCGGCACTTCGTCGGGGGCTGCGCAAACAAAAGTAACGGGTGAATTTATTTTTTATGTACACGTATTGTTGTAAACTTACCTCGTTTGTGCAGAAGATTACCCGTATCGTCGAACCCTTGGACCGGCTCGGATCCGTCGTACATCAATCGCAGAACGTTCAAGTCGTATCCGGTCATGTCGCCTTCGCCGCCTCCTTCGTCCTCGTAGTTGATGATATTCTCTCTGATGTCGTCCGTGTCCTTGTACAGGTCGTCGGACTTTCTTCGGTGAACGACCACGGCCAGCAGTAATACTTGTGAATAAAATAAATAATAACCAAGGTTATGGCGACGGTTAGGATCATATAACAGTGATAATTGTTTCTAATAAATCGGCAATAATTACTGAGTAGGACGGCCAGGCAGACGAATATGGCGATCAAGAAACTGGCGTCGATCCCAAACGACACGGCAACGGCAGTGCCGTGTGTGCAAGAAAAGTCGACCTCGTGAGCCGCGCCCGGCGCCCCCAAGTTGTACAGGCGACCGTTGAATGTGAGATTTCGAATGCACCCGTTGAACCCTTCGGATATCGGCTTGTGGGTCCAGTTGCGGGTGGACGCGACCAAGTCCAGGTCCAAAAACGAACCGCCGAGCTGCAAGGGTCCGTTGACGTTCAAGTATTCGTTGGGTCCGATCGGCGGACTGAGACTCAGACACGACGGCAGGTTGCAGTTGTCCACTTTCAGTTCGATGCTCTAAAAAAAAAACATAATAACATTTCAATTTTAACGAGTAAAATATCATCAATTGATATATTAATAATTAAGTTGAAAGTTTACAGTTTTGGTCCAGATAATTTCGATCCTGTGCACTTCTCCGTCGGATATCTTGATTTGTTTCTGTTCCATTTTGAGCGTGCCCGAACCGTAGTCGACCAGCAGTACGGGATAACCGTTGCGGATCTCCAACGACATGAAATCTGCGAAACGTCAAGCGGTAAGCGGTATAGGAATCTCGAAATAATACCCAACGGACATTACAAAACAGTACCTTGTACGGCAACGGGAGACGGTTTTGCGCTGCTGGGTCCGGCGTAGAACAGCAGACCGTTGTCCAAGGCGGTACGCACTTCTAAGGACATGTGCGACTCCATGCAGGACTGTAGCGACGGGTACAGGGCATATCCTCGGCCGCTGAAGCCAATGCTGAGGATTTCACAACGCGGCCCCTCGTAACCGGCCGGACACTCGCATCCGTTGCTGGAAAAAAAAAAAACACAATTTGCGGTCAATTTCATCACGTTTGTTCGGGATATCTCACTACTAGGCGCTTTTACCCGTCGGCCGTCGGAGTACCGCCGTTGTAGCAGGTGATTTTGGCCGGCACTTTTTGCTCGCACTGGCAGAACGGATCGACCACGGCGCGTATGCCCACAAACGAGGTGGTGTTCGTGTACACGGCAGCCGGTTCGTTGCTTTTGTTCAAGAAGTTCGTGCACGAAGACTCGCAGTACAGTTTCTCCACCAGACACTCGTCGATGTTGACCATCAGGAAAACCACTCCCAGCTCTTTCTCCAACTGTACACAAAGGGGGGGGGGAAATTCAAAATTAACACGGTCCCGTCGTAAACTGTCTACTCGCCCACCACTACGGCAGAGAGGAAGAGCACACACGTACCTCGGCTTGGTGTCGATCGATGGCCGCGTTCAACCGTTCGCGCTCGTAGTACGGCGAACCGTGAGCCGAAAACCTGACGTCCAGTTGAGAGTTGTCGGGATTGTGCGGGGAATGCAGGATGGTGAACACGTCCACGTTTTCGATGCTGGCGTTCAAAATGGAAGCCAACTTGTCTTTCAACACGGACGCTTTACTGACGCCGTCCTAGAGAAGAAGAAAGACGAGGAAAATAAAAAATATACGTTCATCCCGTGTCGCTTCTCTCGCCGCGTGTCACTACTCACTTGATCGGGCGTGATAAACTCTTCGGCCGAAATGCCCGCCAGCCGGACCGACCCGGACTTGTCGACCGCCTCCTCGGGTATCTCTTTGACGGTGACGACGACGGTCGCGTTGACCGTGTGCCTTTGGATTTTCGCACCCTGTTCGGTCACCTCGAACTCCAGCACGAACGTCTGTTCCCGCGTGCCCTGCAGCATGGTGATCATGCCGGTCTCGGACTTTAGGTCGAAGTTCAAGTGCGGTCCGTTCAGCAGCCTGAACTTCTTGTCGGGCAGGTCCCAGTCGTCCGGGTCGTCCACGTACACGCGGCCGATCTCCATGTCCGGCGATTCGCCCTTGTACGTGTACACGAACACCGAGCTCCTGCCCGGTTTCATCGGGTTGTCGTTCTCGTCGCCGATGATCACCTGCAGGTTGCTCGTGCCGGTCATCCGAGGTATGCCGCTGTCCGATATCGTTATGGGTATCACGTAGACCTTTTTCTCTTCTCGGTCGAACGTGGTCGTGGCTAGCAGATCGGAACCTGACGGAACAAAACAAAATTATCAGAGTCCAGCGGGGGGGCGTTTCATACCGAAAACAATGGCAACCGAGAGGAAGACCACGAAGACGGATTGCGGATTGGCGTGTGATAGAGTGGGGGAAGACGGTTTTGACGGTAAAGAACATTTTTTTTTGAATGGATCGTAAACGAATACATAAATGGAGCAAGAGAAGTGATTTTTGACCGCAAGGAATAAGAAGAAGAGGTATGTAGTATTTCGTTTCGTTTCGACGTACCGGAAATGGCGAATTTGGTTTGTATCTCGTAAGGGGCATCCGGTGAAATGGCGAATTCAAACGGAGCGCCGTTTTCCGGTCCATCGTTGTCCTTGGCGTTCAACCGGGTTATGGTACCGGGCGATTGGTTTTCCCGCCAGACGACGGGCGCGGGCTGGAAACAAAAGATAAATGTAATTAGTAACCGGCAAAAGGAGTTGGTAGGTTCATGCAAATCAAATAAGACATGTTTACCATGTCCAACACAGGCGCGTTGTCGTTGATGTCTTTTAGCACGATGATCACTTCGGTGGTCGCCTGTAGACACTTGGGACCGCCGCCTTCGTCGCTGGCCTGTATGGCCACCTGCCACGTGGCGTATCCGTTGGGAGGATCGCGGTCCAGAGGTTTGATCAACGACAGGCATCCGTTGTTGTCGATGGTCATCAGTTTCCGTTGTTCCTCTTTGACCACCGAATAAACGATGCGCTGGTCCACCGACTGGTCTTGGATATCCGGGTCGTACGCCTCCAGCTGCATCGTCGAACAAACGCAACAAATGAATTACGCAAATTTAGTTCGGGCCTTAAGCTAGATTTTTTTTTTTTATTGCCGATGACACTTACGTTGGTTATGCACCCGGGCACCAGTTGTTCTTCGGTGATGGTGATGTTACCCTCGTACTGGCGGAACTTGGGCGGGTTGTCGTTGACGTTGGATATTTTGATTTCCACGGTACAGTAATCCTCGTAGGCGCCGTCAAACGCTCTTACTTTCAAAACGTACTGTTTAAGACACACACACACACACACACACACGACCAAAGGTTAATAATAACATGTGAAAAGCGCAGCAAAACACCACAACGATAACTCGTGAGTGTAAAAATTAAAAAAAAACAATGTCCTGCTCACGTTGGTAATGTTCTCGTAGTCGAGTTGACTGTTGACTTTGATCTTGCCGGTGGTGCTTTCGATCAAAAACGCGTTGTAAGTGTTGCCGTCGACGATGCTGTACGAGACGGGCGAGGCCGTGTCGTCGTCCAGAGCTTTGACTTCGGTCACCAAGGCGTTGAGGTTGGCGTTTTCCGGGATTTCTTCGGCTTCGTAGATGGACTGCGTGAAATGCGGCGGATGGTCGTTCTTGTCGGCGATTTCGATACGGAATACTTGTTCGCCTGCGAAAGCACGATTACGAATTACATCTCCAACTCGAGACACGTGGAAGTACTGCTGGGGGGGGGGGGCACCTTAGGGATTTTAGGGATTTTTTTGTTTTTTAGACAGTCTAAGTGTTTTTGCTCACCCTCGTTGTGTGCCCCGGTCGAGTACAAGGCGGACGGCGAGTTGTCGGTGGCGATCACTTTCACGTTGTACACGTCCTGCTTCTCTCTGTCGAACATGACCAGGGTGGTAATGTTGCCGGTGTACGGGTCGATGGAGAAGTATTCCCGGTTGTCGGCCAGCTCGTACGTGACCCGGTTGTTGGCCAGAGTCGAGTCGGCGTCGATGGCGCGCACTTGCATGACGGGCGTGCCGGGCGGTTCGTTCTCCAACACCGAGCCGGATACCACCTCGGTGAACACCGGCATGTTGTCGTTGACGTCCTCCAGTTGGATGTTGAGCTGATGTTCCGCCGCCAAGCTGTGTTTGTTCTAAAAGCAATTCGTTAAAAATTCGTTTGTCTCGAAAAAAGAATGATGGGGTTCCAAACACGGCTGTAGGTTGTGGAGTATTGGACCCGCAGCGCTCTGGCTTGAACGAAAGAAGGACGCTATTGGGAAGAGTGACCGAGCGAGGCCACCACTCGAACACGTGGAAGAATGCGGTCAACCAGCCCCCGCTGGGACTGTCAACGAAAGAAGAGATTAAGATCCGGATAGCGCCGGGCTTACCTGTATGCGGATGTTGAGAATGTATTCCGATATGGATTCGTAGTCCATGTGCCTGGACAAACGGATGTGAGCGACATTGCCTTCGGACTCCAACCGGAAAGTGTTCAGTTTGTTGGACTGCTCCGTTCGGCCAGCCACCAATTCGAAAACTGGAGCTTTTTCGTCGGTGTTGGATCTAAAACACCGTATAAACACAGCTGTTAATTTTCATTCCCTTTCCCATTTGAAAAGACAGGGAAACTCACTCGGCCGTGATGGTGGCTATGTCGTAGCTGAAATTGGTAAAGTTCTCGGGTATGTAGATGACGCCTTCGGGCTGCACCGAGGTGAACGTGGGGGCTTTCTTGTGCGATTCCACCACCATGATCTCCAGGTCCATCGTGGCCGACTTGGGAACCACTCCCTGGTCGGTGGCCGTGGCTCTCATCTTGAACTTGTAACCAGGTTCTCTCTGCGGGCGAAGGCGGAAGAAAAACACATACACACAATTAATTAGGAGGTGACACAGTTAGGACCGTCGTGGTCAGGTGGTTAGGTCAGCAGCACTCACGTCGATGAAACGATCCAGGTAGATGACGCCGGTGCTCTGGTCAATGCGAAAGTATCCCGAGTCCTGTGGGACTCTAGGGGACAAATCGTACTGTATCGCGCTGTTGATGCCGTCGTCGATGTCCGTAGCCGATATCCTCATCACTTCGGTGCCGGAGAGCAAGTCTTGAGGAACGGATTCCACATAATTCTAATTAAAAAAAAAAAAAACACAGTTTACTTTACTCAACTTACACAAATTCGACGCGGATGATACTATACTAGTATTAATAAGATAAAAAAAAAAAAACAAATTAAAACCATGCATTGATCAAATATGTATATCGTTTCTAAACAAACGGTGCAATTTTTCGCCAAACAAAAAAATAAAAAATACCAACTAAAAACTAAGAGACGCGTATTGCTCGCCTATTATTGCCTTACAACAATAATAACATCATATTATATTAAGGTATGATAGCATTTTTTTTTATGAAATTGTTTTTTCCGGTCCAACGTGGAACTATGGGGGGTTCTTATTGCCTCCGTCCGAGTTAAACGTTAAAAAATATAAGTTTATGTTTCGCACGTGCACATGTTAGACGTGTACACATAAAATACACAGTTTAGTCGGTCGAAGGGCGGCGTTGTTGGAGAAAAAAAATATGTAGTAAGCTTCTGTAAAAAACTAAAGAACACTTCATGCACGGTGTGTGTTGTTGTGTGTACGGCAGCGGCGACCTTATCGATTCTAGCTTGTTGTAGGTGTAATACTGTTATTGTAAAATATGTAGTTTGGCGAAAAAAATGCAAAGTATAACGACAAATCTATAACGTGCGGTCTCCGATGATGAGCTGTTTTTTATTTTAGATAAGATCAAAACACACACACACACAACGACGCATGCATTCGATTGAAAAAGTATGTGATATAAAGTTAACGACAAAACAAAAGAGAGTCAATGAAAATCTAGTAAACTTTGTGTGGAACGCTCATGCAAAACGGTAACAAACCTAGAAGAAAAAAATACCTTGTAGTTGAATCCTCGGTAGACCTGCAAAGGACCGGCGGAAATTCGATTTTATAAAAACACATAAAACTCACCGTTAAAACTACATTACACGTTGTTGGCGGGGTGCCGTAAAACCGAATTATCCGAAAAACCAGAAATTTTCACTTTCGCATAACTAGATTTCGGTTTTTAAATTATTTACTTATAACCTGACCGAACCTTTTAACACTTAACCGTTTTGTTTAGCGATGGGAATTCGAAAATTCGGATTTTTAAATAAAAAAAAACGCTATTTAAGCCACTTGAAAATAGTAGAAATAATAAAACATTATTAAAATATATTAGGATTGTGATTTGTGTATCTAAGAAAAAAGAATTTGATGAAAGACTAAAGAATTTAACAATCCGGAATCCAAAATCAGTTTATCTTTTTGTAGTGTTTTATTTTCTTCTAAAATACCTTTACTTAGGTAGGTACTGTGTTTAGTGTATAAAAAATCCTAGGTAACTTAAATAGCGTTTACTTGTGAAAATCCGGATTTTCGGATTCTCATCACTAGTTGTATATTGTTATAGTATGCGAGTGAATCGAAAGTCAGCATGTGTTTAAACATATTGTCAAGTACGGCAAACGGGTGTAACTATGGTAAGAATTTTTGATCTTAAAACAATAAGTTTGGCCCAAGAGTTTCGAAATCCGGATTTACAATAAATTCCGGATTTCGGATTCCGAAAATCCGGAATCAGGATTTTTCCCATCACCAATTCAAAAACTTTCAGCGTCATTTTCTTTTTAAATTAAAATTGATTAAGTACAAAAAAATGTAATTCAGTGTTAGTAAGTAAGTACACTCTGAACTAAGCTAGGGATGTTAAATTTTACGGATTTTTTTTCGTTCCCGGATTCACGACGAGCTTTGTCGAATCCGGATTTTTCCCATACCCGGTTAGGATTTGCTGTTATTGTATAGTTGCTGTTAATCGTTTCAATTTTGTTTTTCTTATTAAACATCACACAACACTTACTACTTTGTCGAACACCGGGGAGTTGTCGTTCTCGTCCTGTATGGTCACCTTGATGGTGCAAAAATCGTCCAAGTGCGGTTTACCGTTGTCGGTCGCTCTGACCGTGACGTACACCTCTTTTTCCCGGGCCGTTTCGTCCCGGTCGAACATCTAAAAACCAAGGAGCAACAAGGAGTTGAGTATGCGAAAAATTGAAAATTGGAAAGAAAAACAAATCGAGTTGAGACCGATTTGTCTGTATGGCATATATGGATAGCTGACTCACGTATCTGGTTGTGATCTCTCCGGTTTGCGAGTCGATGGAGAACTTGGGCCGTTCGCCAGGCGAGGTGACAAACGTGTACGTGATGGTACCGCCATTGTCCGGAGGGTCTCTGTCCAAGGCTTTCACCTAAAACGGATTAATTTTGTAGTTAAAATTAAAGAGGGGGGAAAAAACGAAAAGCAAGATGGAGTTACAAAGGTCGAATACAACAATACAAGAGCGACCCCAACCTAACCTTCCTTTTAAAATCTATGTAACTTCTTGTGAAGTCAGAGAGAGACACTGTTGTACACTTTGCACGTTCCCTCTAACCCGCGAAATCTAAATTTAACCTAACCAAACCTAACCTAACCAAAGCAAACTTGACCAAACCAAACCAAACCTAACCTAACCTAACCAACCTAACTAACCAAACCAAACCTAACCTAACCAAACTCTAACGGTTAGGTTAGGTTTCACACTTTTGTATTTTGAGATCAAAAAATGTTGTCATGTGTTCAGAATAGAGATGCATGTTCATCGACTTACTATTATTTTTTTTTTTTTTAAATAGGGTTTTATCAAAAAACGATTAACAACTAAATTATTGTTTACAATTTCTTCTATACATATATTTTTATTTCTTTATATTAAAATATGTGTATTTACGCAGCAACAATGATACTACCCAATATAGATCACCGGCCTCTTTATGGTCGTGTTTGATTTATATCGAATATTTATAATTGGTCCGTTATTATATTATATTATACGACACCGCTCGTAGCGCGTTTTGATTTATCGCTTTATTTTTTAATTTTTATCTCTCAATTCCTCAAATTAAAACAATGGAACACGTTCACAATTAAAATAATAATAATAACAACAACATTGTATCACAAGCCGGGCAACGATTTATTTTATTTTTATCATTATTAGTATTTTTTTTTATCTAGTTCCAATTAGTTAAAAGGAATGCTCGTACGCGCGTTATATGTATAATAAACTTATTTTTTTATTGTTTTAATAACCACCGTTGATTAAAATATTACGGTTAAAGCGAAGAGTAGCTGTAATGTTTTTTTAAATAATTGTATTTGTAATAACTGTGGTATTTAACTTGAATACAGATTACAAAATATATTGTCCGACGAATTGTAATTTTTTTTTTTAAACGTCCTACTGCTACGGCCGGGTTCAAAGTTGAAAGGTTAAGTTCGAGTTTCGGATTAAAAAAAAAAAAATTACAATCGTTATGAAAACAACAATGTACTTCTGTGAAAATCTTATACTCGAAACTTTAGAAATGACAGCTTAAAAAAAAAAATATGAATATTTTAATAACAAATGAGAACTCTGACAACTTTTTGCCAGTTATTTCTCGGCGGACAAACCACTCTAAATCTGATTGTCTTCGTTAAGGCGTTCATTAAACATGCACCACCCCCCCCCCCTTTTGGCTTATCTCGAATGTGTTAATGTGTTTCCAATCGTGGGTTTTGGACTAAGCTATAGGCCCTGTATAATTATAATGTAAGCCCCGTAGTGCAAAATTAATAGCGCCGAGTGTACTCGGAATGAATAAACGGCCTGCAATCCGTTTAATCGATTCACCATAAGAATTAATTACACCGATTGCGCTATACACTCCAAATGCAATTATACAGGGCGACTGGTCGACAGCTATGGCCCCCAGGCAATAACCTAGAAGACGTTAGACTTTTTTGAATAATTATATTCTTTTCTATACTCTTATTATAGTGGTGTTCAACAACTCGTCCGATTTGGATATCATTTTTAAAAATGCAACCCCATCTCTCGTTTGTGTTAAACATTAGCCTTTCAAAATGTAACATGTACCCATTTATAATTACATTTGATATATAAAACGTTTTTCAGCCGAGTCTGCAACCACGAAAGAGCATTTACATGTCCGTTGAAGTACCGAGATAAATTTAGAGTAGTGGTGGAATTATAAATAATGATATAGTAAGCAGTAAGGAGCTAGTATATTAAAACATCAAGTTTCTGGCTAATATTGTAGTGTTTAATATTTGGCTTAAAACAATTCATAGAGAATTTGGGCCCTTAAACTATTTTGAATTTGTTATTTAGTTCTAATTTGAACGTTCAACGTACAACATATCTCTTATCTCTATATCTTTCCCTATCCCCTACCTACTAGCTCCCACCCCCAACTCTCACTCCCTATGCCTCACCCTTATCTTGTTACCTGTTATCTCTTATCAGAGAACAGCGTAACGCTTTTTTTGGTAACACTTTTTGACATTTTTCGGTTATGTGCCAGAACTAATTCCCACCCCCAACCCCAATCCTATTCCCACCCTCAACCCCATCTTTAATTTACGCTCTTGGTAACGTTTTTCTCGGTTGTGCCAGAGCTAAGACATGTAAATGTCAATAAATACAATATATATATATATATATATAGGTACTTACGGTGAACACATAAGTGTTGGTGGGCTGTTCTTCCTTGACGCTGGGCTGGTAATTCGAGCAGTTTGTGAACACCGGTTTATGGTTGTCTTGTACCGTCAACCCGGGCTTTAGTCCGGTGCCTCTGCTAACCTGAAACTGGAAAAAAAAAAAAAAGGTGTAAAACGTTATTAAAAAACTGAGTTTTTTTTCAATCAATTATAGAGGACGCCAACGAACCAACGAAAAAAAAAAAACGAACCTAAAACTATAGTTTGCTGAACAAAACTTTTAACCGCAATATATATTAAGTTATATAGATATAATAACCGTAAATCGATTAAGAACGTTTTGTAATTAAAATGAGCTACCTCCCCCCCCCTTACAACCCTCGGGGTAAAAGGCGTGAAAAAGTGAGAAATTGTTCGGAAAAGCCTTCCTTGGGCTGGTGTACATAATTAGTCATCTGACCGAAGAAAACTGTTTTTAATGAGCGCCGAGGTTTTTTTTTTTGTTATTATGATTATGACGATTATTATCTTACCGACAATCTCTCCTCTTGAGTGACACGACGACCCGGGTCATACAGGGTGATTCTTATTTGAACGGCCTACACTATAGTAGTATACCTACATACTCTTAAAATAATTACACAATTTTCAAATTTGTACCTAGTTTATTATTATTATTTGCTATCTAAAGCTTTATCGACTTTTGCAAATTAAATTGTAACATTGTATTTTTAAATTAAGCACATTTTACAGAAAAAAAATCACCGGTCGATAACCAGTTATGAATAATTTTTTTTCAAGTCATTTGGGTTTAAAATAACTTCAATAACTTTAAGACTATTTATTCAACAGTGGTTATCGACCGGTCGACATTTTCAGAAAATCGTTCTTAATTTAAAAAGTCAATAAAATATGCACGTTACCAGTTAAGGTTCAAAAGTTGATAAAGCTCTAGAAAATTTGTAATTATTTCAAAGCGTGAACTACTAGTGTAGGGCGTTAAGCGAATCACCCTGTATATAGTAAAAAAAAAGATTTTTTTTTTCGAGTAAATGGAATTTTAATGGTACGGGCCGTGGAATTAATTCGTCAAGAGTCTGTCGCCTTCGATAATTCAGTCTACTAAACCGAGTTGGGTATTAAAAGTGTTAAACAAAAAAAAAAACCTCTTAAGATAGACCTGACTTGCAAACAAGCATAGTTATCGTGGAAAATGCGATTGATACTTGCCGACTTTCCTAAAATCGCACCTGTTAATTTTGTCTAAACCGGTTAAACCCGCTTTGACTACCGATTGGGAATATTTAGAACTTGTTACTTTTTTTTTGGGGGGGGGGGGTTTACAAACTGCCCAAGGGGTTAACGACGATTGCCTCGGATGCTGACTCAATTGAACACACACACGGTTGCTCTTGATTGGGCTCTTATATATATATATATATATACATTTTGTAACGCCCGGCTTAACGTCCAAAGCATTTGAAATCATGTCAAAAGAAGACATGTCTTTTTTTTTTCGGTATGTTTACTCTCCGATGATTAAAGGGTACACAACCCTTACCTCCCACCTACCAATCATTATAGTATTATTATATGCCTACGCCATAGAGTGTAATAATATAAAGAGATGAACTAACATATATTATTAGACCACAGAACCAGTATGGCCACACTGTCAAGCGATCGGTACTATAGCTAATATTATCATGAAATATTTTTTGGCTTTTTTCAAGACACTGTTACCGTTAATATCTCATCACCGAGTCATTGAACGGTATTTGTTTTCTTCTACTAACTAGGCACAGACCGACTTTAAAACATTAATACTACTATAGCAGCCACCCCTTGGCCTACACAGACTTGGCCGAGGAGTTCGGACACGACATCCACCAAACAGGACAACCAAAACCAAAACCGAATAATAAAATAAATAATTATTTACTATCGACAGTCGAATCGCTGAACAACACGGTACCGCGTGTACAGGAGCAATCACGGTCACTAGCAGATAACTATATTATTGTGCTGTACACGATGGGCATTATTATATATCTAACGGGTGGTAAAAAAAAAAACAACAGCCAGATTTGATGTACGATTATTTTATTTTATATTATATTCAAAAATATAATCGTTATTGGCATTTTTGTTTTTTTTTTTTAAATTGTTCTGATAAATTAAATACGACACACGGTATATCATGTCATTTCTGGACTGCGTTTGTCGTAATCGATTACCGCAATCGAAAATATCATTATTACGTTTGCTTGTCATCGTGTGATAGCTGACATTTACAGGTTTTTACCTGCACCACTAACTACGGCGGATACTCTAATAATCAAAACCGAACACACACAAGGCAAAAGCACACAAAATACATTTATTTACACACACATAAATCATACTATGCTGATCGCGTCGGTTTTCACAATGTAATTGTTTGTACTTTGCAAAACTACACCGAAATCCATTGTAAAGGCTAAAATGCTCTTGAAATTGCCTGTCGTTCTTTATGAGAAATTTCAAAGCACCAGAAACATTCATGAACCCGTTTTGTACACAACGATAATTTAATTTTTAGAATGTGGTCACGCCGAGTTGAGGGCGGTTTATCGATGGTAAAGCGTCTAAAGAATATTAAAAACAGATGAGCAGAGATGTTATATATACATATATAAAAAAACCGGTAAGTCGGTCACGCAAATGAAAAAAAAAAAAGAAAATTAGTCTAATAACATTATGAATATACAACGTACCCACTAGCCTCCCATGTATCCTCTGTGCCCTATTTTCGTTGCTTTCATCAATTATTATTATTACATATTATTATTTCTCTAGTACAGTGCAAAAAAAAAAAAAAATAGAGAGAAGGTTCAATACTTAGGCCTGCGTGCAGCCCTCCTCCCTCTCGCCCCCCCCCCATAATATTATACTATCATAATATAGGATATTATTATATTAAAAAAATGTTTATAATATAAATTATATATTACACACGGTTATACCTACACATAACGTATCCGGGATATCCTATTAGGGTAATGAGGTCTACTACACTAAGGCTACGGCGGTGGGCGAGTGCAGAGCAAGAAGCGGTGGTACCAGAGTATTATTAATATTACTATACAAAGTAGTCGAAGAGAGGGCAACGCACAGAGGGGATGATAGTGCACCCCGGTTTTGATATACCTAGGCGAAGCCTTTGCATCGCACCCCCCCCCCCCCAATAAGTATACACTGGCTATATTATTATTATCATCATCATCGTATTACATTTGCACAGTGCGCGCTGTGTACACACATAAACGGTATTAAACGGAGCACACACCCTGATGTGGGTAGTAAAGGGGAGGGGGTAAATAATTTGAGTTAATGTTGCATTATGAACCGGTCGGTTAGGACGGGGGACGGACAAGACAAGCGCGTGCCAAAATCTTCGACTAACCAGTAAGTATTATTTATGTACTACAGGGTGTCTCTCAAAAATAATGGTGGGGTTTCTGACGGCTGTATAGGTTGTGAAGTATTGGCATATACAGCTCTCTGGTAGGGCTCGAACGAAGAGAGAGAGAGTTGTCAAGTTTCGAATCACTGCCACTAGACGATGGCACACAATACTTCACAACCTACAGCCGTTTGAAACCCCAGCATTCTTTTTTGAGACACTCTGTGTTATACTATGAGCTGTTATACGCCAGCCAAATCTGACATTTCAAAATGATCAAAACGAAAACGACTTGTTAAACTAAACTTTAGCTAATAAAAAAAACATGCGTTGTTAAAACAATCCATCGAGGTACGATTGAGCATTGACGTCTGTGTTTGTTTGAATAACAATATTATGTACACCGCTATTACAATATTTGTTAAAACACATCTATACCTATGTGTTGTGTTTAAAATGGTAATGGCGGTTTTGACGGCGCAACAAAAATGCCAATTTTTATGTATCACGATGATACAGTATACAGGGTGATCCATTTAACGCGAGACGACAATCAATACCGGATTATAAAATAACTGCGCGATTTTGCAGTCAACAAATTATTTAAGTACCTAAATCATTATTTACCGTGTAAGTATAAACACTCGAATATTGTCCACAATACTGTAAAACAACAACCGGTAACAAAGGTACTAGTATAACTGTTTTCGTTGAAACATATTGTTTTTTAGCTTCGATACGGAGCTGAGAAGGTAGTGTTTTTACAATGATGTGTTTTTTTTATTTTTGTGTCTGGACCCACGATATCTCGTAAACCGCTGAACCGATTTCTTCGTGTAGCAACTCTATAGATCAGAAATCATACCTGGAAGGTACTTTCATCGGGCCAAAAATTAAAAAAAGTCACCCCTTCCCCATCAAAATCGAGAAAAACACCCAAAAAATTCACAAATTTTTCAACTTGAAACTACGATGCTCTATAACTTTTTTAAAAATAGTCGAAAATGTTCCAAATTTAAATGAATTGTTCTTCAAACATAGTACTATCGATAAACATTAACAAACCAAAAAAATATCATAAACCCTTTCCCTTAGAAGGGATAGAATTTTTTTCTTTATTTCACTTTTACAAGCAAAGTTTTAGAGATTTAGATTTGAAAATTAGACCAAAGGTAGATCTAAAATGGAAAATATATAACATACAATTTTCTCAAAAACCCCCAAAAAAGGGTAAATTTACACTTTGGCCGTAGTCAGTTTCTAGGTTGCTATGTGTGTGTGTGAATCAACAGGTAATGAAAATATTTTCATTATATTGTTAATTAATTACGATACATGGGTAACTATGACAGTACATTTTTATAGACAGACGATCAACCCTTATCGTATCCACCCTGCACAAGACTAAATATTACATTTTAAGTACATTATTGCTGGTCCCACGATATCTTCACAGCCACTATAACTAGTTTGAACATACTATCCACAGATTCGCATCGAAGCGTTTATTTAAAAGTGATTTTATCACTTTCAGTTATAATAAAATCTGGAAACCTGTGACCTCTCCGACCCCACTGTACTGGTTTTTTTTTTATCAACTAAAGTGTATTAAAATGCGGAAAATTTAATATGCGCATTTTTTCAAACGCAAACAAACTACACAAATTTCGAACGCTTTGAATATTGTACTTAGCGCATAACTATTATATATATGAAAACAAAATTGCGTTTACACTGCGAACGTTGGTTGGAAAATGCGCCGAAGGCGGTTTAATATTAATATTATTATTTTAAATCAATGTACGCGGTTATAAATTTGGTACAATAAGAAGCATATAAGGGTAAGAGTAGAGTTAATAGGTTTGGGCTACAGGTCCCTGTAGTACCGAGGGCATATACAATTGTGACCCGACAACCGATGGACTGTGAAACGCCCAACAAAGTATATAATAATATAGTGTAAATATAATATCATGATAAACACACGACAGGATACAGTCGATAAAACTCACCGGGTTCGACGAGTCATCCGATATGTACGGTTCTGCGTGCGGGCCTTTGTCCAACAAGTGGCGTTGGTGCCGTACCCTTCCGCTCCACAAGTTGTTGGACGGAGCTGTAAATAATAATAAAAAAAACACAAACAATTAATTTATACAACAATCGTATAAAAAAGAAGAGAAAAAAAGCGATTAAAAGTTTTATGGAAACCGAACCGATCGACCGCTTTCTCTACATACAAGTCGTCTCGGGTAAAAGTGACAGTCTAAACTGAGTCTAGAGAACCACATCTGAATATAATATATGGTTAGTTAAGACCGATTAGTATAACAGTATAACAGTCTATTAATCCGTTTACACGAAGACGAGATTGGGTTAGGTTAAAATCCATTTGTGCCAAAGTTATCAGTTAACTTTGCCAGCTATAAAAAAACCGTTTCTTTATTTCCTTTTTGGCGGTTTTTAGGGCTTAAGGTCTGAATGTTAGACTGGAGGTAGACCTATTGTGGGGTTATAATACACAATGCTTTTATTTGATATTTCTACTATATCTATTTGAAAGTAGTTTTACCACTTTTAGCACTATATAAAATAAATAACCCGTGCCCACCGTGTAAAAATGTAAACTTACCTAACCTAACCTATTCTCGGGTTTACCTACCCCGGGTTCTCCTCATACTGTTCACTATTGACGTTTAAGTTTTTTTTATTGTTTTCTTAGAATAGCGGCTAATAAAATTTTTTTTTTTTTAAAACGTTATTGTGTTGGCAATCTGTTGTGTGTGTGTGTGTGTGTGTACTTCTTTGGAAAGAATGCTTCTTTTTGTTTCGCCAACATAATATACTGGAATTTGTTTGCCGTGTGCAACGCCGGCCGTTGTTGACGGTACCGGGAAACGGTAAAGCGACGCCATAAAATATTTAGCTACAATAATTATTACCGCGTGTACACGCATAGTTGTATTTAGTTTCATTTTTTTCTCTCTACCGTAGTTCTTTTTCATCTACCTGGTCCTATAAGTTTTCAAAAGCGACCCGGTAAGTATAAAAAAAACCGCTTCTCCGTGGTCCCGCGGTCATTGTAACGGTGTGGTTTTACAATATTATAAAATCACCAAAAACGCGTACCTATATAAAGCTCCAAGAGTGCAGCAAGCTACAAAGGTGGTACAAAAATAATTACTCAAAACTGGTTATCGACCACCGGTCGAAACACGTCAATTAAATTATTTTTTGATTTTAAAAGTCGATTGGTAACTATTTTCCCAGAAAATCAGCATCTCACACGTTAAGGGTGTTTCGGCCGTTTGCCGCGTTTTACACACAACGTTCCAGTAGTGTGGGGTAGGCTTTTTTTTTTTTTTTTGTTGCCATTGCCGCTCACAAATCATTTTGGCCAAGAGAGCTTGGCCGGGCTGGTCAAATTTACGACGGCGATTACTACACTACAAAGGGGTAAAAACGAAATAATTAAAAACGCCTTCAACCCTGTTCACCCCCCCCCCGCGTACATTATACATTACCCCCCCCCCCCCATATAGCCTCTATTACTGTATACCTTTTGCCCCTTCTTCTCCTCTCCCCTTTGTCGACGAGACCCCTGACAAACATACACCACCCCATCCGCTACCCTCGTGGTCCACAACAGCTTTTGACGATTTAATTAATCGCCGTTAATTAATTTTTTTTTTCCACAGCGCAAGTGTTCTGCTATCCCGCGTCTCCCGTGGGACTGTGTTTTGACCGTAAATCATCAAATATCAATTATCATGTCCGACGTATGGCCGCCACCGCGAGTTGTGCAACGGGATCAGAGGGATAGACGTCAAGCATATAATGCAATATCGCCTGCTTGCTAGTCGGTACTCGGAAAACGCAAATGGATTTTCGACGTTCAATTGACATATCAAGTGCTAACGGCGCATGACCTCCACGACGCGACGGTTAGGTTGGCACGACCGTCAAAATTTAATTGACAGGGGTGTGAGGGGGAATGAAAATCGCATCCATAAATTCTTCCCATCGCTACAAAGTCTGGATTATGGTTGCCAATTCCTTATGAACATATTTCTCAAACCATTCCAATCCGGCTGACACACAATTAAAACTAGCAAGGCGAGTGAGGTACGCACTAAGTGTTGGGACACACCTCAGATGTGATATCCTCATGGGTTTACCACTGTTGATCGAACGGTGGTGTTTCTCAAAAAATCGCCCTTTAGCAGGTATAATGTTGTGCTGCCGTAATATTCCAATGTCTGTTTCGTTCAATAATGCGCGACCTATAATCCTGTGGCTGACCCTGTTGAGGCCGTCTTAATGGGGTCGTCAGCCATAAATCTCGGGACAAGCGTGTCAATTCTGATTTCGGTTGACACGATTTGCTGATCTGAATACACCAAAGGGGTTAGACTCAAACGAAATGACATTCAAAGAGTACTTTTAGAGTATTCCTAACGGGCCGACAGGGCGCATTCGCCTTATTCGAGAAACGCCGCCTCTCCGTTTATGGCTTATACAGTGTTTGTCTAATAAATAAGTATACACATATATATATTATATAAGTTTACGGTGTTTGAGATAATATTTTTACGATTGTCGGCATAAAAATTGTTTATCGCATACATTCGTATAACGTGCAACGACGACGGTATGCGGTCAATACTCGAGTTGTGTGGCAGACTCATATTTCTATCAAAAAAAGCGACACACGCCAAATGCCATACACTTGAATACCACCACCAAAGAGTGAGAACGGACTAAGGACAAATTATGCGTTGCATTGCCCACTCAGTCACATTTAGCATCGAGAAAAATGCCCGAACAAAGTAATCACAGCGCTAAAACACAATATGGAGAACTTCGAGCATAACTTTGGTATACCCGAAGCAGATTCAACCAAACTTGGTACACATAATATGATACTGCGAGGGGGTAAGGTTAGGTTAGGTTAGGTTAAGTTAGGTTAGGTTTGCTTAGGTTAGAGATAAAGTTAAAGATGGAGCTTGAGATAACAGCTTGTGTACGAGTCCGCAACCACGGGAGACATTTTATATTTTTTAAATTATATATAAGGATATAAGGATATATAAGGATTAAGGATATAAGTATAAAGTATATAAGGATGTATAAGATATAAGGATATAAGGATGTATAAGTATATAAGGATTAAGGATATAAGTATAAAGATTAAAGGATATAAGTATATAAAGATATATAAGATATATATATATATATATAATATATATATAATGATGAATTTTCGTTAGGTTTTTTTGGTAACGCTGTAGATTTTTCCGGTTGTGTGCCAAAGTAAAGACATTAAAGTGAATCAAAAACTACAGCCATGTTAGCGTCTCAAAGTGTCTATAGTGGCCTAGGTAAGTTTACAATTTTTTATTTTTCACCTAAACGTTGATAATAATTTGCGTTTGTATCATTTTTCTCCGTTGTGGGCGCGATCCTCTTCGACCACATATGCATGCGTGTCAATGCTAGCCGTTAATGCTAAAATTTCGAATGGCAATAGCACTGGCAGTACGGAATCAAACACGAGAGTGCACACACCGTTAATATAATATATTGCGGTCGAGAGGTTGGATCACACAGCACACGGGGGAATGATGTCTGTCACAATATAATATTATAATATCACACACTCGGCTGTGACTATTTGTCAACGGCACACACGACAGGTACAAACTATTAGCGTTTGTCCAACATGAAACGTCATTAAAATGATTGCTCAGCTGTAAGCAAGCGCCGTGGTGTGTGCGTTTAGCAAAAAGCTTTACGCTATTAGTAGCCCTGGGCACCGTATAAATATATACATATATCAGTTTATGATTAAATTATCCGGTCGAGTGAGGAAAAAAAACAAAAAAAAAAAACAGATTATCATAATTTACTGTCGTTCGGGCGGTGGTAACGACACTAAGCTGAGACACGTTGTAAACTTTGAGAGTAAAGTGAAAAAAAAAAACCCCAGCAAGAGTGTTAGCAGGGGAATATAAATAATATTGTTGTTGTCCGCTTTCCCACGAGGCGTTTAATATTATATTATCATTTCTCCTGTTTTTTTTTTTTGCTCTAGCACAAAGTCACTGTCGGTTCACACACACACACAGTGTCAGTCAGGCGAGTTCAGTCAACCGAACTTGTACGGGAAGTACCTCGTGTTACACATATACCTGTATATTATATAATGTGTGTTTACCGGGCGGAACACTTAAGTATTAAATCGGTGTAAAAATCGACCATTGCATTGCGTATACGGCAGCGTTTGTCTTGTTGTTGTTTGTGTTTTGGAGTTGTGACAAAAAAGGCCAACAAACGCACCTGTACGGTATATAATAGGCATTATCGAACAACACCCACCCACGCTCCAAGCGAACTCTCATAATGTTTGGAATAAAAATGTTTCAAATTGTGCGAAAATGTTGGCCTATAATTGTATGCGATACGTGTCATACAGCTCGGCGTTCGATTTAAAAAAAAAAAAATTAAACGCGGACGTTTGTTTTTTTATAATAATATTGTTAAAAAAATACACTATTGCGTACTACAGAAAAGGTATTTTTTACTACTTCGTTGCATATTTGGAACGTTTGTCGAACGCACACACGGCAATATAGCATAGTATAGAGTATTTGATTATAAATAACAGCCAGATGGTACTCTGAAAATATAATTGTTAGGAACGTTTATTTGTTTATCGTTTTACGACAACAGTTTTAACGAAATTAAACAATATATATTGTACAATATTAAGCATTTACTATGAATTGTAAATTATGGATTACAAAAATTCACCCACGTTCAATATAGAATACAATTTTATTTTTCTCTTTCAAAAATCGTCGGTAAACGTTACAAGTTTAAAAAGATGATACAAGGTGATCATACGACCCAGTCCCAGTCGATATCTCAAAAGATATTAGGCTTTTTTTAGGATTTATTTTATACATTTATAGTTGTTGGCTCAAATTTGTTATATTTTTCCTAAAATATAACTCCATTCCCCCCCAAGTGTTGTGAACTTAGTATTTTTCAATTTTGACAGAATTATTAATTCAACTTTAGAAATCAAGTATAGGTACCTAATTTGCTGAAAACAATTTGACTGGTCGACAACCAGTTTTGAATAATTGTCATTTGACTTTATAAGTGGTCATCATTCGAAACTGGTTATCGACCAGTGGAAATGTTCGGTAAATTCTGTCAAAATCGAAAAATACCAAGTTCATAACAGCTGTTCATAACACACGGTGGGGAGAACGGGTTTGTGTTTTTGTACATTAGAATTTGGCGAACATGTATATAGGTATATGAGAAGTCTAATACCCTCAAAGATATCGACAAAGGGTCGTAGTTGACCTAGTTAATAGCCGTGTAGTTTAATTGAAGATATATATATTATCGTGCGTTTAATAATGTCGGTGATGGCTTATGTTTTATCGTTAAGAAGTGTCGGGAAACAAGCTGCGTTCGCCCTGGCCCCCATCACGACGTTCTTCTATCTTGTTGTACTGTATCTCATCATCTTGGGGGGCGACTTCGGGTCTCGTCAGGTCCGGCGAGGACGACTGCGACTCGACCGCGGCGGCCATCAGCTGGTCCTGCTCGGCGGCCATGGCAAACGCCAGCTTCATCCGTTCGCCGGTGATACCGTCGGCGGCGTCGGGGTACACGGTCGAGGGCAACAGCACGGTCTCCATGTCCCCGAGCCGGTCCAAGTCGGCCCGAAGGCGTTCCCGGTCGGCCGCGTACCCGGCGAACAACCTCTGGTAGTAGGCCAGCATCAGCAGCTGTTGGTCCGTGTCCCGGGGAGCTTTGGCGAACTCCGCCCACGCCGAATACAGCGCCGAGAAGTCCAAGGCGTTCCGGCCCAGATCGCCGGCCACGTCCTTTTGCAACTTGAACAACTCCTCGTAGAACGGCATCACCTGGTCGACGGTGCCGCCGTTGCTGGCGGTCAGCCACTGGACCGCTTTGACAATAACTTCACTCGGTTCGTCGTTGTCTTCGGGTTCTTCCGCATCGTCGTAATCTTCTTCAATGCCGTCGTCGTCGTCGTCGTCGAAGTCGCCATCCTCATCGTCGTCGTCGTCAAAGAGATCTTCGAACAGCTGTTCGCCGGAGGCTTGGTAATCGCCCGCGGTGCTGCTGCCGACTGCGACGACGTTGGTCTGTTGACAACGAGCGCATCTCGCCAAGACCATTATCATCTAAAAGTTTCAAGCAATACAACAAATATATATATATATATATATATATATACAGGCTCTACCGCCGCCGTTCGATAGGTAACGAGTTAGAATAGAACAACCAGGGCGGGTGTGTGTGAACCTCTTACCAACGACAAGGCTTGGCCTTTAGAAGCTGATGCTGATGATGACCCTCCCTCCCCTCTCAGCAATCTAACGTTTGGCCGTTCATTAGACACTGTTTCAATCATTGCGTGGAAATAATAATAATAATAATAATAATGGTATCCGCACGTCCGCAATCGACTTTGTGCTTGAGAAGATAATATATTTAAAGTTTACAGGACAATTATTACACGGCGGAGTCATAAATATTGTGCGCGCACGCGTGTCGGGGCACGAACAGCAGTTTTTTTTTTAACGGCCTCTAAAAGTTTATTATGGGACAATAAAAAAGCGATAAAAAAAAACCGAAAAGCCGGTGGAGACAGTGATATATATATATATGTACGTTACGGTAATAGTATCAATCATAATAATAATGATAGTAAACTAAAGAGAATTATTACAAGGAAACGGTTATTTTCTTTCCGAGAAAGTTTGTTTCCGTATAAATACATATATACTTTTTTATTATAATTTATAAAACACAAGGCGACCGTCGTAGTAAAACGTTAATAATATTTCTTTTAGCTTCTAAATTCTACCGTTTAGAGGGATAAACGAAATAAAATACCGAGCGACACACAAAACGATCAACAATACAATTATTATAATAATAACAACAACAAGTGTAAAGGGGAAAAAAATAATATAAAACTAACCACAGACAACCAACACCGACGTGCCCGTCCTGGAGAGTACAACAGCAGAGGGGTGGTAGCCTAGTGCTGAAACCAAGGGCCAAAACGGGGTTGTAGGGCTCTCTAAAGGGTTTAAACTCAAGTGTGAACAGTTTTGCCGGCAACTCGGGGGGGGGGGGGGGGTTAAGATGATAATTGTTTGTAGGATAATCTAAATCAAATATTCTGTGAAACCTTCACGAGACTTACCGCGTAAAGAGCGTAGTACGACGTTTTGGCGAACATTTTTCTTAATTTTAATAAATTTTGTTTTGTGTCGTTGCCGGCGGTCGTATCTCGATTCACGTTCACTTCAACAATGACGGAACGACAGCCGGCGAAAAAATACAAACAAGTTCATAAAGGACAAAAAAAAAAAACTGACAACGACGGCTCGTGAACGCATCTGTTCAAATTTTACACATGCCCCCGTCGGATTCACAACCTAATGATTAATATGATAATAATAATTACCACAATCGGTATAGGGTTTACCGCGATACAACGGTTATCACAAAGTATGATCGAAATACTTTAAGCGGAAGTTCAATCCGAAGATTACCTATCAATAATATTTCCCAGTACTATATTGTAATATTGTTGAAATGTAAAAAAATTTTTTGTGTGTTTGAAATGCCTGAATTGAGAGCAATTTTAATTGTGCTCACAATTCAGGCATTGTCAGACCGCGTCTGGTTACATATAGTGTTGGCCACACTAACGTGTTGAGCCAACTGAAAGCCATACAAAGCTATGGCAAGCGATAGAACGACAACATTATTATTGACATGTAATTTTGTCAATTAAAAAAAAAATGAATCGCATCTTCCTGTTTGATTATCATCAACCACACACGGTCGTTAACGGTTCAACTTTATGTATAGAATTACTATTTTTTTTTTTTAGGCCTACACTAGTTTTACCGGGTTGTCATTTAATAGATTCATTTTGAAAAACACAAAGCCAGGCTTAACATCAAAGCTATTGTCGATGGTTAGTATGTACAGTACACCATACAGATAACCAATGATCTATATTTACATACCAAACATTCAAAAATATCCATATTCTCGTTAGGAGACTACAAATCATGGTTATTCTATATTTGATCAACACAACAAATTACGGTTTATTTTAAACCAATCTGTCTTAAACTATAGGAAGAAATAATGGCGTAAAAAACAAAATAATAATAATAATAAAAATAGTGAAATTAAATCATCAAATCAATGTCTTTATTATTTCTTGAACTCGGACATACATAATAACGTTAATAGAGTTTAAAAGTTTTTGAAGTTTAATAATAATATAATAAAGTTCAGACGAATGGACGAGTGTTATCAATAATTAGTGTTGACTGCAGGGCCAGGGCCAAGTCTTGGTCGAATAATGGCGGGGCCAAGTCCAGGTCCAATAATATCCGGGCACTTGGTACTTAAACAGTAATTGAGGAAATTAGCACAATCCCGATTCAGCGCATCCGGGTTGGCTTTGTACCAGGTGTACAGAGCTTTTCTGTAGTCATTTTCTTTTAACTCGCATTGCCTATCAGCTTTCCACGCTTTGTACGATTCCACTATGCTAACGTCCACATGGTTTTCCTCGAAGTACTTCTGGACAGGTATTTCAGAGTAGCACGTTTCGAAAAAGCCGAATATGTCGTATTTAGTTTTAGGGCAACGTACGACTCCGGTGTCTTGGCATACTTGGCACTCTTTCGGTTCGATGGAGACGGAGATGTCAACTATGGTCTGAGTGTCCACCTCGATTGTTTCGGGGATTTTTTCGTAGTGACCGTACAGAGCAGCCCTGAAATCGGGTAGAACCGTTTCGCCCTCTTCCACGTACCGCTGGTATACTGTGTAGACTTCTTCTTTGTCACTCCAATCACACTGTTCGAAAAATAGATCGAGTACGTTTTGTTGGTAACCTTGGAAGAAAACCAAGACATCTACCTGTCCTTGGGTTACACACACGTCGCACGACGAAGCTAAAGTGAACGCCTGCGGGCAACCGAAAGACAATTTTCATAAAAATGTAACCAAATTAGTTCAATTAATAAAATAATTCATCCGGTAGCTTTAGATTTAGAACGGGACTGGCAGCCTAACAGGTGATGCACCTGAGAAATTGATCAGAACTTCTATGCCTGTTCGTCACATAAGGGAAAACCTTAGAGAGTAATTCTGTACACGCCTGTGCCGGAACATATTGCGGTGAACATTGATTTTTGAATACATACGGATAAGCGGTGCTATACACAAGAAAGGCGACCGTTTTCAATGTGGATTTCCCACTGTCAATAGATGTACTCTCGCCATAGTTTACTATCCGTCCGTCCAAAACTATGTCGAGAGTATCTCTGTTGATGGTGGGAGTCCCGCATAAAATCAGCACCGCTAATTTACCTAGAATTACTATTGAAGTTCAGACTCCGGTCGAAAAGGTCAATAACAACCCTAAATCAAGCTATCATTGACCGGTTTATGGATGAAGTTGATGACCATTCTACCAGATACACCGGAAAGCTCAATATTAAAGCAAACACAAGAAATGAAAAAGAGTAGTATAAGCGGGTCGTGCTGGAAGACCTACTCGATAAAACAAATAGTGATCAGTAAAGGTCTAGAGGATATGCACAGAGTAGATGTCTAGAAAGATGTGATGATAGGAGGATAAACTGCTTCACTCTATCGACTCTAATCTCTTTCCACTTTCCATAAGTACGCCTCATTCAACACAAATCATCCAATCAATCAGTTTTTGCTCCTTTTCTCTCGCTCTCTAAATGATTTATCTCCTACTTTCATTTTGATAGTATTTTATAATTGAAAAGCCTTTTGGTTATTAAAATAACATTAATAGAGAGAGATTTTATACTTACGGTTGCCGCCAGGACCGCAGTGATAAAACAAGTTTTTGCTGACATGTTGTTGATGAACGCTTGCTGATGCTATACTTGTTGTATTGTTCAACTAATGTTGCAATGAACTGATGATTTCGAAGAGAACCCCGTTACCTTTTATACGATTTTGAATACGATCATGTCCCGATTTAATGGAGAGCTCTATTTTTTTAAATGTTTTTTTTCGAAAAGCCCATTCTTTGTTTGCTTATGCAACATAAAAAAACCCATTATTAAGACCATTATCTTGTCCTAATTCTATTGAAACCGCTTTTTATTTGTTGATAATATGTTTTTCGAGAAGCCTATTCTGGGTTTGCTTAAGCCACAAATAAAAACCCCCATTACGCGGTCGTTAATAGTTTCCAAAAATGTGTTTTGAAAATGTTTAACAAAGGTAAATAGACGAATATTTTTATTTACGTTTCCTGTTTTTCACGAAATATGCACATTTTATTTATTTTTTGACTTTATCCAAACATTATTTTCAAATACATTTATGAAAACTGTATTGATTAAAACCAAATAATGAACTTAATAATGGTTTTGTTGTGTTGCATAAGGAAACAAAGAATAGGCTTTCCAAAAAAACACAGGCTTTTCGAATGAAAACAACATTATCATTAAAATAAAGCTTTCTACGGAAATGGGTCACTGATGAATTAGAAAACGTATAAAAACCAACGACGTGCTATTGGAATTTTTTAGTTCACCGCAATATTTGTTGGAACATAGAAGAGTTCTTCAATATAAATTTGTCTGCAAAAGTTTGATTCATCACGGCGGTCTTAGCAGTGAAATGGTAAGTTAAAAACATATTTTATAGACTTAACTGTACACCCTGATAGTCGTCACGGTTTTTGAAACAAATTCGACAGTGGTCTGAATTAAACTTAATCATCGTTCGGTCTCTAAATATAATCCGAGATCTATTGGCGGGGATAATAATATAATCTAATTATTTAACCGTCATGAGACACAGTGGTCTGAAATAGCATTTTAAGCGGGTAAAATAATGTTACAATAAGAAATTATTGTAAAATAAAACTTGGTTCTTTTTTTTATATAAAAAAAAAAACGAACCATTAGGAAGGCGCTACATGATGCACTTACGGTTTGTCCATGTATTAGAATTTTGTGCACACTTGCTGGCACATAAGACCACGGGTACAGTTTTACATACAACTATGCTGTTTTTATGGTATAAACTTCAAAATATGCTAAAATAGTATTGTTATAGCCACTCGAAATTGTTATTAAAATAACACCAACCGGTTCATAATCAATTCTATTAATGTCGGAGGACTTTTTTGGCTCCTTAAATAATCTTCGTGTCGTGTTTCTATTTTTAGAAGTTTCACGACTTAAAAAAAACTAGAATTTATAGTAACTGGTATGATACTTTGTAATATATTTCATCAACTAGTAAACCCATTTCGTTTTTGAATCTATCTTGGATATGTTTTTGAATAACCTCACATATTTTGTCAATTTAAAAAATAATATTTGTCGCATCTTCCTGTTTGATTATCAGCAACAGTCACGGTCGTTAACGAATCAGTTTTATGTATAGAAATACCATAATTTAGGTCTACACTTGACTAAATTATACATTTTATAATAGTCATATGTTTGTAGTTTACCGGGTAGTCGTTTGACAGATTAATTTTCCAAAAAACTACAAAGCCAGGCTAAACACCAAAGCTATTGCTGATGGTTAGTACGTACAGCACACCATAAAGATAACCAATGATCTATATTTACATAGCAATAATTCTGAAATATAATCATTCTCGTTAGGAGAATAATAACCATGGTTATTGTATTTTTAATCAACACAACAAATTACAGTTTGTTTAAACCAATCCGTTTTAAACTATAGGAAGAAATAATGGTGTGAAAAAACAAAATAATAATAATAATAATCGTGAAATTAAATCATCAAATCAATGTCTTTATTATTTATTGAACTCGGACATACATAATAACATTAATAGAGCATCTATCAACACCGAGTATACACCGAGTTTGCAGCAGAGTAAGTTTCTTTAAGTTGAATAATTATATACTAATAAGGTTCACACGAATGGACGAGTGTTATCAATAAGTTAGTGTTGCCGGCAGGGACTTGACTTGCAGGAGCCGCTTTGGTATAATAACGGGGGGGTTGCCTAAAGCCGGTGGGTTACCACCATTATTCGGGCACTTGGTACTCAAACAGTAATTGAGGAAATTAGCACAATCCCGATTCAGCGCATCCGGGTTGGCTTTGTACCAGGTGTACAGAGCTTTTCTGTAGTCATTTTCTTTTAACTCGCATTGCCTATCAGCTTTCCACGCTTTGTACGAATCCACTATGCTAACGTCCACATGGTTTTCCTCGAAGTACTTCTGGACAGGTATTTCAGAGTAGCACGTTTCGAAAAAGCCGAATATGTCGTATTTAGTTTTAGGGCAACGTACGACTCCGGTGTCTTGGCATACTTGGCACTCTTTCGGTTCGATGGTGGCGGAGATGTCAACTATGGTCTTAGTGTCCACTTCGATTGTTTCGGGGCACTTTTCGTAGTGACCGTACAGAGCAGTCCTGAAATCGGGTAGAACCGTTTCGCCATCTTGCACGTACCGCTGGTATACTGTGTAGACTTGTTCTTTGTCACTCCAATCACACTTTTGGAAAAAAGTTTCGAGTACGTCTTGTTGGTAACCTTGGAAGAAAACTAAGACATCTACATCTGCCCGAGTTCTACACACTTCGCACGACGAAGCTAAAGTGAACGCCTGCGGGCAACCGACAAACAATTTGTATAATAAAGGTTACTAAATTAGTTCAATTAATAAAATAATTCATCCGGTAGCTTTAGAATTAGAACGGGACTGGCCGCCTAACAGGTGATGCACCTGAGAAACTGATCAGAACTTCTATGGCTGTTCGTCACATAAGGGAAAATCTTAGAGAGTAATTCTGTACACGCCTGTGCCGGAACATAGTGCGGCGAACATTCATTTTTGAATACATACGGATAGATGTATTCTCGCCATAGTTTACCATCCGTCCGCCCAAAACTATATCAAAAGTACCTTTGTTGATGGTGGGAATCCCACATAAAATCAGCACCACTCAGATGTATATTTTAAAACCAACGAGGTAGCCGAGACAAGTATAAGCCTAAGTATACGGTTTTAGGGAGGGAAACCTCCTAATTAGTTATTGAGAACTACACTTTCCAAATTATGAATTTCAGCAGCTATTAAAGGTGCAATTTACACTAGCATAACTATTCAAGTTCAGACTCTGGTCGATAAGGTCAATAACAAACATAAACCTATCTTTGACCAGTTTATGGATGGTGTTGATGACCATCGAAAGCAAAGTACTACGACATTTATATGGTCTTATAGCGAAGAATTGTGAATACCGAATTCTAACTAACGAAGAATTATAAGAGAGAATAATCTGCGCAATGTTCATAATGACATCTTTCATTTGGATATTATTTTATAATTGATCAGCCTTTAAGATGTTAAAATAACATTTAGAGAGATATTTTATACTTACGGTTGCCGCTAGGACCGCAGTGATAAAACAAGTTTTTGCTGACATGTTGTTGATGAACGCTTGCTGATGCTATACTTGTTGTATTGTTCAACTAATGTTGCAATGAACTGATGATTTCGAAGAGAACCCCGTTGCCTTTTATACGATTTTGGATACGTCCATGTCGCGATTTAATCGAGAGCTGTATTTTTTTAATTATGTTTTTTTTTCGAAAAGCCAATTTTGCGTTTGCTTATGCAACATTAAAAAGCCCATTATTAAGACCATTATCTTGTCCCAATTCTATCGAAACCGCTTTTTTTTGGATAATATGTTTTCGAGAAGCCTATTCTGTGTTTGCTCAAGCAACATAAAAAACCCCATTACGTGGTTTTTAATAGTTTCCAAAAATGTGTTTTGAAAATGTTTAACAAAGACAAATAGACGAATATTTTTATAGTTTTTCTGTTTTTTGATTAAAGCCGAATAATGGACCTAATAATGGGTTTTTTGTGTTGCATAAGCAAACAAAGAATAGGCTTTTCGAAAAACACAGGCTTTTCGAACTAATACAAACGTTATCATTAAAATAAAGAGCTCTCTATGGAGATAGGACATTGATGAATTAGAAATCGTATAAAAGCCAACGACGTGCTATTGGAAATTTTTAGTTCACCGCAATATTTGTAGGAACATACAAGCGTTCTTCAATAAAAAATTGTCTGCAAAAGTTTGTTTCATCACTGTGGCCGTAGCAGTGTAATGGTAAGTTAAAAACATCATTTAGGGACTAAACTGTACACCCTGATAGTCGTCTCGGTTTTTAAAACAAATTCAACAGTGGTCTGAATTAAACTTAATCGTCGTTCAGTCTCTAAATATAGTCCGAGACCTATTTTTATTTTATTTTTTATATTACATACGGACCTGGGTTGCGTATATTTATCTTAAAATTTATTATTGCTAATAATTCAATATAATCTATACAATTATTTATCAGTTTATACAAAAAGATTAAATTGCGATTTTATACGTCTCATTTCTAACGTGTCTGTATTTAAACAATTTAGTAAACATTTATATAATGATTGTGGAGTTCTGTAAATGTTGCAATTAAGAGAAATAAAACGTAGAAATCGATTTTGAATGGATTCTAAATCCTGTATTAAATAAAGCGGAAATGTGGTGACCAAACAGATGAGTTGTATTCGAGACAGGATCGAACGAGAGAACAGTAAAGTGTTTTTAAAGCTATAATGTTATTGACATTTTTGCAATGTCGTCTAATAAAACCTAACTGTCTTGCAGCCTTATTAACAATTATAGAGATGTGGTGGTTAAAAGTTAATGTAATTCCCAAATCTTTAATATGTGCGACGCTTGGCAACACAAAGTTTGATATTGAATAAGACTATCTTATAGGTTCCCTTTTCCGATGAAAAGAAATAACATTACATTTAGATAAGTTTAGACTCGTATAATTTTCTAGACACCATTCCTCAATTGCATCAATGTCACTGTAATAAGTATGAGTCATTAACCGATTTAACAGACCCAAGTAATTTGCAATCATCAGCAAAAGAATATGGTTTAGCAAAGTGCAGATTAAAGGCTATATCATTTATAAAAATATTGACGGGATAATAATATAATCTAATTATTTAACTACCGCGAGGCACTGTGGTCTGAAATAGCACTTTTTGTTACACTTTGGCGACATATGGTGCACTTATGCTTTGTCCATGCATTAGAACTTTTCTGCACACTTGCTGGCTCATGAGACCACGGATACAGTTTTACATACAACTAGATGATGTATTCATGGTATAAACGTCAAAGTATGCTAAAATAGTAATTTTATAGTCACTCGAAATTGTTAGTAGTTCCAAGACTAAAAAAAAAAAAAAAACAAGAATCTTGATAGTAGGTTGGTGAAAATTTAATTTTTATTCCAGCAACGAGTTAACCCATTTCGTTTTTGAATCTATCTTGGATACGTTTTCGAGTAACCTCACATATTGTTTCATTAACATAATATAAACGTTCAGGGTAACATCTTTGATAGATAAATATCAGCATTCCGTTTTTTTGGTTGACGACCTGATATTAATATGTTGTTTTTTTGTTAGTTTGTTATCCAATAAAAATGCTATAGTTTCATTAGGAGAGTAAGATATTGAGTTTTCTTTTGGTGATGTATTACACTTATTTTATACATATGACGCTCCAGATGGGCTTTCAGTTATTTCTTTAAGTGACCTTGCTTCGTTTCGTTTTCCAGATTTATGAAATGTCCGACGAGCTGCAAAATGTACTTCGAGAGAGGTAAGTTGTGTTGTCAACGATTTAGTTTTGCCTACCGGAACACTCTGCAAATCAATTAGCTTGATTAAAACGCACATATCCTGCATTGTGTAAAGATTGGGCCAAAAAAGCTCAAATGGCGAGCAATATTAATATAGCAATTTGTTTATGAAAAAAATAAAACTGTTAACTAGACAGAACGCTACTGGTTACACACAATATTGGCCTAACTAACGTGTTAGGGCAACTGAAAACCACACAAAATAATGGATAGAATGACAGGTGTATTTAACATGTCATTTAGTCTATTTAAAAACAAATTAATCACATATGCCTTGTTTGATTATTATCAACGACAGTCACGATCGTTAACGGATCAATTTTATGTACAGAATTACCAAATTTTAGGCCTACACTTGGTTAAATTAAACATTTTATAATAGTCATATATTTGTAGTTTTACCGGGTAGTCATTTAACAGATTAATTTTGAAAAACACAAAGCCAGACTGAACATGAAAATCTATTATCGATGGTGTGCTGTACATCACGCCATAATGTTAACTAATGATCTATATACCGATCATTATGAAATATCCTCGTATTCTCGTTAGGAGAATACCAACTATGGTTATTGTATTTTTTATCAACACAACCAATTTACTAGTACGTTGCTGGACAATGGTTGTTAATTGGACTAGCAGTATATATATATATATATATATATATTTTTTTTTTTAATTTTGCAAATCGTTTACCGAGTAGTATGCATATCATAATAAACTGTAGGAAATAACGGTGAAAAAAATAACAATAATAGTGAAATTAAATTATCAATAAATATCTTTATTATTTCTTGAATTCGGACATACAATATAGAGCATCTGTATCGAATTTGCAGCATAGTTAGTTTTAAGTTGAAATTTTATAAGGTTTACAACAAACGGGAGACGTGCGTTATCAATAACCACCGCCTGTTCCGATTACAGTTCCAGGTGGGCTAGGTTTCGGACAAACCGTAGGTGGGACATTAATTTTTTCTTCGGCAACATAAGGTGCACCCGGTGCTAGACCACCAGGTTTCGGTGGCACACACCACCAGATTGCGGTGCTGCCATGTTGCGCATTCGCTGGGGAAGGCTTCACAATCGGCTGCGAGCACCGAAGGATCTTGGCCTCCGTAGTATGCGTACAAAGCCTCTATGTAATCGGCTTCGTATTTCGGGTCGTCTCTATTGGCTTTCCAATTTGTGTACGGTCCCAGCACGCTTTCCATTTGTCTTTTTTCGAAGAACGCGACGACAGGCTTTTCAGAATAGCACGTTTCGAAAGCGCCGAAAATTTCGGCGCCACAAGGGCACGTCAAGGCCTTATCGCAATCTCCGTTTTCGGGAACATCCGCCGGTGTGATGGAGATGATGTATTCAACTATGGCGGTAGAGTCCGGTCCGCATTGGTCGGGGTTGAGCGTGTAGTATTCGTTCAGAGCGGACTTGTACTTCAGTTTCTCCGGTTCGCCGCCGACGCTTACGTACGCCTCGAAGCACGGCAACACATCTACTTGCAACTCAACGACACTACCGAAAAATTCCTTGCAATGAGCTGGACCGAAACCTTCGTAGTAATCGAAGAACGGCACCTGCCCCGGAGTGTAGGCCGGCTTATCACATTTGCACGTGTCGACGTTTGGGCACGACGACGCTAAAGTGAACGCCTAAAGGGCAACCGACAAACAGTTTATGATAAAAAGTGTTACTAAACTAGTGTTCAATTAATACTACAACGGGTAGCTTTGGAATTAGAACCGGACTGGCCGCCTAACAGGCGACGCGCCTGAGAAAAGGATCGCAACTTCTATGCCGTGTTCGTCAAGAAAGGGAGAACCCTTGCTGTACACAATAAAGGCGACGGTTTCATTGCGGGATTCCCACCGCCGTCAATGGATGTACTCTCGCCTTAGTACATCCATAACTATGTCGAGAGTACCTCTGTTGACGGTGGGAATCCCGCATAAAATCCACACCGATCGTCTGTGATAGCCGAGACAAGTATAAGCCCAAGTATACGGTTTTAGAAGGGGAATCCCCCCTCTCCCCCCCCAATTAGTTATCGAGAACTACACTTTCCAAGTTATGAATTTCAGCAGCTCATAAAGGTGCACTTTACACTAGCCTAACCGTTCAAGTTCAGACTCTGGTCTGTAAGGTCAATAACAAACTCACACCTAAAGCTATCTTTGACCAGTGTATGGATGAAGTTGATGACCGTCGAAAGCAAAGAGCTGATATGGTCCTACAGTGGAGAACGGTGAACACTGAATACTAACTAACGGGGAGGGGGGGGGGAATTAAACCAGTTATACCGAATAGCTCAATATTAAAGCATACACAAGAAGTAAATGACAGTAGAATAAGCGGGTCGTGTTGGGAGACCTACTTGATAAAAATAAAAATAGTAAAGGCCTAGAGGATATGCACAGAGTATATGACTGGAAGGATGTGAAGATAGGGAGATCCACTTCCTTTAAGTACTTTCCACTTCCTATAGGTACATCCTCACACAACACAAACCATCCCATCAGTTTATGCTATTTCTCTCTCGCTCTTTCTAAATGATTTCTCTGCTACTTTCATTTGGACAGTATTCTATAATTGAAAAGCCTTTTTAGATATTTTATACTTACGGTTGCCGCTAGGACCGCAGCGATGAAACAAATGTTTGCTGACATGTTGTTGATAAATGCTTGCTAATGCTATACTTGTTGTATCGGTCAACAAATGTTGCGTTGAACTGATGATTTCGAAGAGAACGCCGTTGGCTTTTATACGGTTTCGAATTCTTCCCTGTCCCAATTCCTTCAAGAGCTCAATTTTTTTCAATAATAACATTTTAATACGAAAAGCCTATTCTGTGTTTACTTATGCAACATAAAAAAGCCCATTATTAACACCATTATTTTATTATCAATAGTTTCCCTAAATGTGTTTTTGAAAATGTTTAACCCAAGCAAATAGACGAATATTTTTATGGTTTTCTTGTTTTTCCACTTTTGCAGACACAGTGTCTGTAAATATATATTCAAAAATCAAATATACATTTATTTCAGTATAATTTTAAGTTTTAAGGTAAAAAAACAAACCCATTATTAAACCCATTAGCCGGTCACGGATAGTGTTTATAAATGTGTTTGAAAATGTTTAACAAAGGCAAATAGACAAGCATTTTTATGGGTTTCGCGAAATTTGCACATTTTATCTTATTTGACTTTGTTAAACATTTTTAATAAAACAATACATATTTTATGAAAACAATATTGTTGACCAGAAAACGGACAAAGTAATGGGTAATTTTTTTTTTCAAGCTGCATTAACAACACAAAATAGGCCTGACGAATTAAAACGTTTTTATTGAAACAAAGTTCTCGATGGAAATGGAACATCGATGAATTGGATAACGCATAAAAGCCAACGACGGCCCCTTTGACATTTTTAGTTCACCGCAATATTTGTAAGAACATACCTGCAACAAAAGTTCATAAAAAAAAAAATGTCTGCTATTGTTTGTTCCATCGCTGTGGCCATAGCAGTGTAATCGTAAGTTAAACACATCATTTAGGGGACTAAGTTATTGAAGTTCTCTGTGCTTTGGTTATTTATTTGTTTTTTTTTTTGGTAATTTCCGCGTTGGTTATATATTTTTCACTTATTTACTTTATTATTTTTTAAGCGGCCACTTTATGCGATATCTTATTATGGAGTTGAATATAACCGCAACGATTAGAGAGCGGATTTTTATTATATTCTCACATGTTTATTAGCGCTTAATGCAGCTCTATGGGTGCATATAATGTACATAATTATATATATATATATATAAGCCTATATAATTGTGCATATTTTGGAGATTAGAGATCATTTTCGGAGTTGAGCATATTCTACTGGATGAACATATTTTCAAAGCTTTCGTAAACCCTGAAAATCCGCTCTCTAGATTAATGATTTAACAGCCGATCACTGTTTGTCACTCGGTTACAACGCACAACATATAAATATTTTTGTAATGCATTACCGAAAAGACCTTGCAACATTTTTGTGATACAGATTTAAGTATTCTAATTCTGCATGTTTACCCCACATGTTTGCAACAATGTACACGTTAACAGTGCCTATTTTTTCTTTGTTTTCAACACACGTTTGGGTTTAAGAGGGACTTTTTCAAAACAAAACAAAAAAACACTAGTCGTTATTAATCCGGTGGCGGTAAAAAAGCGTAGACACTCGTCTTGAATACGCGATGAGACGGTTTTAATTTAAAACAAAATATACAAATACAATGTATAACAATAATGACTTGTCACACACTGGCTTATTCCATGTATTAATATCGCGTTAAATGCTTTCGAGTTGCGTTCGTTTGTTTGTCGACCGAGAAAAACGCTGGGAGGACTTTGATCGCATCCGACCTCACTCAAAGTGGGCTTTTTTTTTGTCTTCCCTCGACAAAACAATTAGGTACAAGGAAAAAAACTAATACATTTTCCCCGAGTACGTGCTTTAACGGTCGGCCGTATGTACAAAGACCGCAGAGGAAAATTGTTTTTTTTTTTAATTGTACAACTCGTGAAATCCGATTTTGTTATGTTGTTATTTGTGGTCTACAAAAGTGCCGGTCGTTGATGACAATAATTAACACATACCGAAACTAGCTGTTGTGTGACCCCACTACATTTATAGGCTCGATTGAATCGCTTACCAGAGAAAAGAAATAAGTAAAAAAAAAATATCGGCAAGATGCGAAAAAAAGTTATGTTTTTTTTTAGGGAAAAAAAATGTTATTAATGAAAAATATCGGATATTTTACACATTTTTTATTTAATAGAATAGTACTAAAATTTGCCCATATTTACCCACATATAAATACATTGGTGTTGTAAACCAACTATTCATGTTTTAAAAAATAAAAAAAAATTGCCTAGTACACAATGCAAATAAGATGGCGTTGGATATAAATTAAAAAATTGCAGTGAATAAACGTACTTTCTAATTTGTAATTTTTGACCGACGTAAGATTGTTTTATATTTTTTTAATCCTGAATACTAGCTGTACAACACCTTTGTATATTGATATATGGGTAAACTTTAGGACTTCTCTCTTAAATAAAAAAAATAACATGTAAAACATCTGATTTTTTCATAAAAAAAGATCATAACATAAAATAATGTTTCTTTCCTTTATTTATCTTTTATTAAAATAAAAAAATTAAATACAAATATTTATTTTTTTATGATTTAGAAACCGCCAAACTACAATAACTGAACTTTAAATAGCAATAAAAAACGTCCATGTACACATATGACCTTGAAATTTTATATTATGTCTAAGAAACATATAAAAAATTAATCAAAAACTCTACCTAATTGTTTTGATATTTTTTGCATATTTAATAAAAATGGGACTCTCGAGGGACTAGAAATCACTTTCGAACCATTGTGACATAGCCTAAGTATAGCCCATCGTTTTTGTTATTTGAAACGGATCTTTTAGGTAGACACTGTAAGTTTTTTTGTGTTGATAATAAAAAAATAAAAAAATCTACCAACAGCGTGTCAGGCAGAGTTGGGCGTTATTTGGATAATTTTTTTAGCTAAATTATTATTTGGGCAATTCTTTTTTAGTCAAATCACGGTAGAATAAAAAAAGGTTATCCGAATAAAAAAAAAGCCCAACTCTGGTGACGGGTTATTATTAACGGTAACTTACTTACCTATGTTCGGTCGGTCGGTCGGACGACAATGTAAGCGTGGTGCGTATGAATTTTGTAAATTAAAAAACTATTAAAAAAAAAATTTAAATGAAATAAGATTGGCCCAACTCACGTCAAAAAAACCGCGGCGGATGTGGTTCATTTTTTTTTTTTTTTTTTTTTTGATTTGTATTTCTGTCAATATTAGCAGTGTTTTTCGCACACATGTTCAACCACAGCAAACAAACACCAGTGTAACGCGTTAGGTTAAAAATTGTTTTCCAATTTTGTTACGTTCATATAACTGTTTATACCACTTTGTTTACCTGTTTACGTCATTTTGACGGACATCATGTCATGTGTACATGCTTAAAACCTGCCAAGTATACATTTAGAAGGGGGGAGGGGTGTAGCGATTCAAAAGTACAAACGTCAAACGTCAAAACGTGTGTAAATAATTCAAATATAATTTTATAGACAATAACAGATCTAAAAAACCTAACCGTGTGCTGCTCTGCTAAGACAATACAATTATATTAGAATATTGTACTCGAGTCTTATGGGTTAACTACCGTTTGAAGTTTTTCCCCTTAATTTGGCCTGTCAACATAACCGGTTTCGGCGGCGAATTAGTATTATTACAATAATTAAAGTACAAAAAATGTAATGACATTTACATTCATAGGTAAACGTTAGGCCGGTTATATGATTGAAATCACCATAGTAGACATTGTTGTTGTTAAGAGATTGTTAAGATGCAATTAGAAGGAAAACGGTTTTAGGTCTCTACGTTCCATAAAGATTCTTCAATATTTATAATTAACAAAGCCCGGAATTATAAAAATGAATGTTTGTAAAAGACCATTTATTACTTTTTTCTCTCAAAAACTTCATGTCCCAACTGATTTTTTCCACTCTACTCTAATATAACAAAGCAACAGTCGAGACGACGACTTGATAATATGTGTTTCGTTGAAAAGAAAAAAGTTACTGTAACCGACTTCTAAAACAATCTACCGAGATAATTCAACCGTAAACGCGGCTGCATTAAAGTCATCTCGTTTGGATGAACGACTCCTATTGAAGCCACCGACGGCATTCCAATGTTTACTTAGGAAATGTTTTGTTTATCAAATGTGACGGTGAATTATTCGTTTTCGGTCGTTTGACAGTCGTAAAACGACGAGGTTGCACTTTCGGTTAGGATTACACACCGACCGAAAGTACACAACGCCAATGGAACTCGACTTAAAACTATAATGAGTTGTTCTTCTTACTATACACATTTAACTCGACAAAAACTTCTTACAGTCGATTGTCGTGCTTCGCTTACACATGTGTAACGTATCCGACAGGGAAACGTCACGCATGTCACACGATAAAAATAAAAATGTATATTTGATTTGTAAATATGGTATAGTATTTACAGTACAGTGTCCACAAAGTGGAAAAGCGCGAAAACAATAACAATTTTCGTCTATTTGCCTTTGTTAGACATTTGGCAAACACAAAATAGGCTTTACGAATTAAAACGTTGTGTGTTATTAAAATAAAGCTTTCGATGGATTTAGGACATTGACGAATTCGAAACCGTATAAAAGCCAACGGCGTTCTCTTCGAAATCATCAGTTCACCGCAACATTTGTTGGAACATACATCTAGTATAGTATCCAGCAAGCGTTGTTCGTCAACAACATGTCAGCAAACGTTTGTTTCATCGCTGCGGTCCTAGTGGCTACCGTAAGTATAAAATATCTCTCTTTAAGTTATTTTAACATCTAAAAGGCTTTTCAAGTGCAAAAAACTATCTAAATAAAAGTCGTCAAAAAATTGCTTGAGAACCGAGTCGATAGCAGAGAAATCATTTTGAGAGAAATAGCAAAAACTGATTAAATGGTTTATGTTGAATGAGGCGTACTCGTGGAAAGAGAAAGGAAAATGAGGTCAGAGAGGACGGAGTAAAGGAGTTTCACGATTTATTTATTCAAATGACATTTAAATTTATTACATTAAAAGCATTTTCAAACTAAAATTGTACTCAGGTCTCTTTGTTGATTACAAGAAATCTCCCCAAATGAGATAAATCTTCTTTTATGCTTCTTATAACTCGTTCAGTGTCTTCGCTAAATCAACTATTTCACGCTATATCTCCTTATATTCACTTTTTTCTAGTCATATTCTCTGTACACATTTTACTGGGTCGGCCTTTAGGTCTTTATTGGTCACTATTTTTATATTATTTTACCAATTAGATTTCCCAACACGACCTGCCTATTCTACTCTCATTTACTTCTTGTGTAAGCAAGTACTGCGTTACTCTCGTGGTTCTCCCTTTCTACACGACGACGAACGACCTTGTTAGGTCAGTCCGGGTTCTAATTTCAAACCTATCTAACGTTTGTTGGCGTTTAATTGTTTAATTAATTGAGTTAACATTGTTTTTCGCAGGCGTTTACTTTGGCGTCAACATGCCCCACAATACCGAAACCTTGCCCAACAATACCGAAACCTTGTCCAACAAAACCGAAATCTTGCCTATGTGTTGATGTACCAAAGGTTTACAAACCAGACTACACATATACAGACTTTTGCGATCTCTACGAGAGACTCCCCCGTAATCAATGCGTTAAATTTTTCGAAAAGTTGGAATTCGTCGACATCTTACCAGCGTACAATGCATATAGAGACTGCATCGATGATGCAGCCAGAGAAGCAGCCAGAGAAGCTTACTTAGAACTTATCAAGAAATACTACAGTCAGTGCCCCGACAAATTCGTCCTAGAGGAAATAATTGAATTTATCAACAGTATCCCGGACGAATGCGGTTCCGACGGTTTTCCTCCAGGCCAAATCGTGTACACACCTCGTGGTGTAGATCTTCTTGATTTTTACGAATCGTGCGGTTTTACCGACATTGTCGCCGATTACTTCAAACTTAAAAGCTATGAAGAATTGTTAGTGAAGTACCTAGCATGGAAAGACAATGTGTTCGACAAAAATCTGAAATTATCTTACAGACAATGTTTGTACGATTCGTACAGGGGTCAGCCACAAAAGATCCATGATGACGTTTTGGAATTCCACGATTTCGATAATTCTTATAACCCTGCCAGTGGTGGTTTCCCTGTTCCGAGAGGTTTAATTCCGGATGGCTGCGGCGATACTTATGACATTCCCACATACCAAATCGTGTACACTCCCAATGGAAAAGATCTTCACGACTTCATTGAATCATTTGGTTCCAGTGAGATTGCCTTTGAATTCTTCATAAGCAAAGGCTATTTCGAATTGGCGGCGAAATACTTTTATTGGAAAATCAATCCAAGCAATAAAAAATTGAAATATGCATACAGAACATTTTTGTACGCTTTATACAAGGGCCAGGTTCCAAACTTTAAACCAGACATTACACAGGACTGTATCGACTTCTACAATTTCGATAATTCTTTTAAGCCCGGGTGTGGTGATGAATTTCCTCTGCTGAGGAGTCCGACCAGCAGCAGTATTGATATTTTCAGTATCTTTGAGCAATACACCCCTGATAAATACGATAATTTTTTCACCCGCCATAACATACCTGACCTCACACCATTGTACACTACCTATCAAAACGGCGGCGGACAACCGGAAAAAGATGCTTTCTTAGCAGCTCTGAAAACGTACTTCACTCCAGAGAAACCCGACGATTTCACTCAAATATATGAGCTTATATTTGAATCCATCAACGGCTTCCCGATCGATTCCATTGGCTGTGATGGTGGTCCAACTGTGCCGAGGGGTTTGACAATCCCTAAAGGTCCAGAAGATTATCTCGATATCTACTATAATCTCTCCCCTGACCAATGCATTGACTTTTTCACCAAGAGGCAAGCGATCGACCTCATAAAACCGTACCAGATCTATAAAAACAGCAACGGACCAGCGGAAAAAGAAGCTTTCTTAGAAGCTCTGAAATTATACTACGGTCAGAAGCCCCAGTCCCTCTTAGATGAAGACTACAAGCTATTAGATGAAATCATCAACGGCCACCCACTCATTCCCAATGGTGGTCCAACTGTGCCGAGGGGTTTGACAATCCCTAAAGGTCCAGAAGATTATCTCGATATCTACTATAATCTCTCCCCTGACCAATGCATTGACTTTTTCACCAAGAGGCAAGCGATCGACCTCATAAAACCGTACCAGATCTATAAAAACAGCAACGGACCAGCGGAAAAAGAAGCTTTCTTAGAAGCTCTGAAATTATACTACGGTCAGAAGCCCCAGTCCCTCTTAGATGAAGACTACAAGCTATTAGATGAAATCATCAACGGCCACCCACTCATTCCCAATGGTGGTCCAACTGTGCCGAGGGGTTTGACAATCCCTAAAGGTCCAGAAGATTATCTCGATATCTACATTAATCTCTCCCCTGACGAATGCGTTGACTTTTTCACCAAGAGGCAAGCGATCGACCTCATAAAACCGTACCAGATCTATAAAAACAGCAACGGACCAGCGGAAAAAGAAGCTTTCTTAGAAGCTCTGAAATTATACTACGGTCAGAAGCCCCAGTCCCTCTTAGATGAAGACTACAAGCTATTAGGTGAAATCATCAACCGCCACCAGCCCAGTTCCATTGGCTGTGATGGAAGTCCAACTGTGCCGAAGTTTTCACCTCCAAATTGTCTAGAAGATTATCTCGATATCTACAGTAATATCCCTATCGACCAATGCCTGGATTTTTTCCATCAGAGGGAAGATTTTCAACCCCTTATAATACCATACACTAACTTTAGAAACGGCGGCGGACCAGCGGAAAAAGAAGCTTTCTTAGAAGCTCTGAAATTATACTACGGTCAGTATACACAATATGTCGGTGAAGACTACAAGCTATTAGGTGAAATCATCAACGGCACACCGTCTGGTGATTCCTTTTCGTTCACTTATACCGAAACGAAAACTACTACTACTTCGGGCCCCTCTGACATAGTTGTCCCGAATCCCGGACCTTGTGGTCCAGTCCATCCGAAATCATGTGGTTGCGGACCACCACCTGGCATTGTAATTAAACCCAAATGTTGATGACACTCGTCCATTCATGTAAACCTTATATTCTAACTCAACTAACTTAGCTGAAAACTCGGTATGTACGTAAAAATGTTCTATTATTATGTATGTCCGAGTTCAAGAAATAATAAAAATATTAATTCAATGATTTAATTTGACGATTGTTAATTTTTTTATACGATTATTCTTTATGGTTGAAGATAGATATTATTTGGGTAAACGATATGCAAAATGTAAAAAATAAAACATAACCAAACGGCAATTTATTGTTGCGCAATATTCGTAAACTGGACGATATTCTTGTGAGTTAGAAGTTCATCAATTCAGTTATAAGTCAATTGACTTTCATTCCTTCGGTGTAAACTAAATAAAATGTCTATTTGGTTATGCTGAAAAAAATACAATAAACATAGTTTATTGTATTTTCGAACTTAACGAGAATATTTTAGACTGATTGGAATATAAATATAGATAATTTGTATAAATAGTTTTATTGTGTGCCAAATGAATCATTAGCTTTGATGTTTAGCCTGGCTTTGTAGCTACAGTTTTCGACCGCTTAAGTGACGGTAAAGAGAAAGAGGAAGTTTAAAAACCCACACGGAAGGTTCTATCTCGTTTTCCAATATAGAATGCAATTTTCGTGAGGTTTTTTAAGTTTTACTCAAGTTTGGGTTCTGCTATTTTATCATCCGCGTTGCCGTATGAAAAATGTTACTTAACCAGTAGATACAAGATAGTCCAACAATAATACCATGATATTAGATGGTTCGAGGTATACCCGTGAAAATGTCTACACGGGATTAAGTTACACACGACACCAGTAACGACACATCTATAACCTGTGCATTCACACGAATGCGACAATTGAGCGGACCAAGATGAAATGTCCTTAAAAAAAAAATTAAAAAAAATAGATATTTACTTGATGTTTTTTACAGCTATCATCATATCATTAACTCTATTCTCATCCCCGTCCAACCATCTTTTTTTCGGCCTTCCCCTTCCCTTCTTCTTTCCCTTCTACATTCATCTTCAACCATTTCCACGTACTCTCTCTCATTTTCCCCACAGTTGAAGCAATTCCTAGGCTCTCCCTTGTGTATTCATTTCTTTTTCTCTATCCGCCCTAGTCACTGCACTCATCCATCTTATCATATTCTCATCTCCACTACACTCATCCTCTGTTCAGTTTTCTTGTCTACCGCCCAATATTCCGTCCTATATAGCATTGCTGGCCTCACTACCGTCTCATAAAATCAACCTTTCAATATTTGTGTGACATGCTACTGTTACACAAAACAACGCTCCCCTCCACTTCATTCGTCTACAATTTATCCTATTTTTTTTGTACTAACAAGTAGTAAAAAAAAAAAAAAACACCACTGAATGGAGCCATCAAACGGTAAGGTAAGACAACGATTATGTATTATTACCGTGTGCTTATGACAAACGGGCCATTGTCGTCACGGACTTTGGTTTAAATATCGTTTAACAAGACCCCGTTCGCCGATAATAATCCACGTTGGATTTTACGACGGCATTTTCCACGTTTAACACGGTTTTTTTCTTTCAAACAAAAAGCATTCACTGCAAGACAACAAGAGTAGAAGGCGGGACACGGCGGCGGAGGTGGATCTTCGATTAGGATCTAATAAGTCTCGGTAATTGAAGAGAGTGTTATCATAGCGATTCGTTGTAGGCGGCAAGGAGAAAAGCTTGGCCGACGTCCAGAGACAATTTTATCCCGAGATAACTAAACGCCAAAGATGGTCTTTGCAAAGGGGACGACAACACAATAACCAACAACAGACAGCCCAATTCAATTTTATCTAAAACACATCACTCGAGACGCCGCGTTACTTCTTTTTTTTTTTTATTAAAAAAAATAATACACTTTACTAATGGATCAATCAAGTAGTGCTTTTTTCGAGCCTTTGCCTCGAGTCAGTTCTGAAACTATAAACGCTAAACGCAACTTCGACTGATAATATTTCTATTTAAAATCCTATTACGGTGTCATTGAACGGGGCAATCTTAAGTCACTGGGGTTGGTGGTTTTTTTTTTTTTTTAATCTAGTTGCTATTTGTCGATGGCTTGTGTGTGTCTCCTCCGTTCCACCATTGTGTACGCACCTCAACAGTTTATAATATATATATATTGTAATAGTTTGTACAATAATACAAAAATATCTTATGACTAAAGAGTCCTGGGACGCTACAATAATCGTACCACAGTATAATGTAATACAAAAAAATTCGTTTATAAGAATGACGAGCCAAGTAGATATGTACGGGTGACATTCATCGCGGACGGGACGGGCGGAGGAGGTTCCACGCCAAATCGAATGGGCGAAACGATTTGCTTTGAAAGGCAAATGTCATATGTAAGTAAAAAAAATGAATATATAATAATAATAATATAACGAAAAGAAAAAAAATCTCGAGGCAGATTAATAATAATAATAAAAAACACATTCGATAATAACGCTGATTTGGCAACGTCGCGCCGGGGAAAACCCAACGCCGTGTCCAATCAAAACCACGCGTGGAGCATAGAGCAGATCTTGGCGCGCAAAATACTATACAGGGTGATCCATCTAACGTGTGAGACACTCATTTTCTCTGAAAATATGAATATTTTGAAAAAAAATTTTCCCTAAACTTTTAGGTACATATTTTACTACATTTTTCAATATTTCGACAATTTTTATCGCCAATCCTTATAAGCCAAATAGATTTTTTGGGATTTTATTTTCACATATCTGTTCATTAGCTACGGCTTTGTAAATAAATAAATATATTATTATCTGTGATTCTGTGTTATCTACTCAACTTCCAATAATAATTCGTTACAGACATATTTTCGTGTGATAAAAGATTCTAATGCCCACAAAGATGGCGGAAAATGGTAACTTCAATATTATCTCTATTGGCGGCGTGTATAAAATTACCAGCGTATTATGTTCCCATTTTAAATGAAGTCCACGCTTGTTTTATGTGTAAGGGACGAAGACAACAACAATTCGGTGAGTATTGATAAACATAGTAAAACGTAATTTAAGATAACGACTGTATCGCCCTGTATATACTCTGAACTGTGAAACTACACGATAATAACGTTTGGTTAGGTCTGTATAGACACATAATATGTATGTTGTTCTCGGTTGCGGTGAATTCTTGCCGGGTGGACAATATAAGTGTGTATAGGGGACTTGTACTCCAATATAGGTATATATACCGAACGATTTTTTTGCCATGCGTGTCAGGATAATAATATAACGATGTGTATATATATATATGTATTCAAGACATGGTCATCATCAAATGAGATGGACGGCATGCAATGTGCGCAATAGTACCGAGTGTCAAAGTCGTACGTCGACCCGTTTGGTAGATATAGAAAAAAAAAATCATGTTAAAAATACCTATACACTTAACTGCCCACAGTATATCTACCGTTGGCTTGGAAACAGTAATCAATGCAACAGAAAAATAACTCTAGCATACAAGGATAATAGTGTAGAAACCGATCAAGAGAAACAAACATGCCCTTAACGCTTTTGTGTAGATATGGATAAGACATTACAGTTGCACGGGATAAGAAGGTAGGATCCATATATATATTAAAATATGCAAGTTCAAACAACAGTCGAGTGATATGTTGAGGGACACCAAAGGCAGGATATTATACGACTCAAATCATGAAGAAAAAGGAAAAATACAAGGACCAAAAAGAACACTAAGCTACAAAGAGGAGGCAGCGACACACTACTAGGTTATACATAAGGATAAGTAATTTAAAACCAAAAAAAAATGACTAAAAATGTCTCTGAAATTCTCAACAATTCCTGAAGTTTATAACATAGTTTAAAGGTTTAATTTGGTTTTTTTTTAAAGCCCTTTGTTCGTTTCCATGTTTCCCCCTAACCGGTCACAATGGCTATTGGGGGAGGGGGGGGGGGAAAGATGATATTATTTCCCACATTTTTCGTTCGAGAGGCGTTTTTTTTTTTTAGTTCTCATAACTTGCCCTTCTTCTTCTTCGGTGTTTACTGTTTGCACGACAATATTATACACAGCACATGGTGCACCTTACAATAATAACTCAGGGGTGGTTCACAGCGACACTCGATTGAACGACAACACGTTTTGCGCAATATCCAATTACTAAAAGTTAAATAACATCAATATTTATATTCGCCGACGAACTGCCGTAAATTATTATATTGTAAAACCGACCGGATATATATAATATCATAAGACTGGAGAGAACTTTCGGCGAACGCAAAACAAGCTTATCCCGGACTCTCCTCTTGTGTAGTAGTTGGTGTTGTTGTTGCTGCTGCTGCTGGTACAGTCCCCTTTAGATGGATGTTTGTATATCTATACAAGCGTTTGGAAATTTACTTGTCCGGTCACACACACAAGAGGGCCAGAAGAGAGTTGATGTGTGCCAGCCAAGCAAACACAGCGGCCGTTTCGAGACTTTTAATAATTTTTCGGTAACTTTTCACTGGAAACGCCTACTTGATCGAAACCCGCCTAGACAGGATGTTTCAGTAAGGACAATACGCGGGGTAAGATGTTTTTTTGGTTAAATTGTGCAAAGTGCGATAAACTATTTGAACTTCAACGGCAACGTTTATGTTTTACTAAAGTTTATTAATTTGCTGAAAAAAAATGGACTAACGGATAATAATTAGTCTTGGATGTAATTCGACATTTAAACTTCTATAAGTTTAAAAGTAGTCGCCCTGAAGAAGTTATCGACCGGTCGACGTTTTCAGCAAATTATTGTCAATTTAATAAATCAATTTCCATTAGTACGCGTGACACCTAACGTGAATGTTACAAAAGTCGATACAGCTCTGGATAATACAAAAAAAAAAAAAAAAATGGTAAACATTTAATAACTCTGATTGTAAAATAAGATCAACGAAATTATTATAAGAAAAAAAATCAGTGTCTTATCCTTATTCTCTGGACTCGGCCAACTGTTGGATTCGAAGCAAAAACCCGTCACGCTCGGCAAGTACTTACTTTTACGTTTAAATAAATAAAATACAGAAAAATCTCCTCCGAATCAACAGATCCTTTTTTTTTCTTATTCTTATATATATATAAGGAAATAAATCCTTGTCCGCTTCTAT